AGAAAAAAAAAAAAGAATAAAAAAATAAAAAATAAAATACTCATTAGTATTTTATTTTCAATAAAAGAATAAAAAAGCTACTACTTTTTTAACTTTCTTCTTTTTTTCTTTCTATTTTTCAAACTACCATTAACGTTTTCTCTTACACACAAACATTCCTTCAGTACATAAAAGGACATTGCACTCCTGTTGCTAATTTATGATTGGATATCGCCATATACACCTCCACCCATACTAATACTAATACTCTAATATACTAAAACAAGATATATTGGTAACTGGTTCTTATTATTCTTTCTTCTCTCTTTCTCTTTTCTTTCCTTTCAGTTTCGTTTCGTTTCTTTTTCTTTTTTTTTTCCACCAAATGCAATATGAGTAAGAAGAATATTCAAGAACCTCCAATTAAGAAAAATGCATTTGTTCATAAATTATATTCCATGTTGAATGATCCCAAATTATCTCATCTAATATGGTGGACTAGAAATGAAGAATCAAATACTTTTGCTTTATATCCAGGTAAAGAGTTTGCTAATGCATTAACTGGCTACTTTAAGCATGGTAACGTTGCTAGTTTTGTTCGTCAATTACATATGTATGGATTCCATAAGGTTTCGGATCCTCAATCAAATGATAATTTATCAAATATTAATAAGGATACTCCTCCAATTTGGGAATTTAAACATTCTTCTGGGAAATTTAAGAAAAATGATGAATCTTCCTTAATTTACATTAAAAGGAGATCTTCTTCAAATAGTTCTAGAAATAATAGTGCAACTTTTAGTGAAAACGATTCATCAATTCTTATTCCAACTTCGTCCCCTTCGCCCAATTCTTTTGATCATTTGCCGCATCATACTTTCCATTTTAACCAACCACCTCCTCCTCCTCCTGCTGCTCCTCCTTCTCAACAAAATCCTTATGTATATTATCCCCAACCAAATCCTTATATTCAGTATCCAATTAACTATCTACCCATGGACTACCAAATACCGCATCCTCAACATCCTCAACAACACCCTCAACAACACCCTCAACAACAACATCCTCAACATCCTCAACAGCATCCTCAGCAACATCCTCAACAACAACATCCTCAACATCCTCAACATCCTCAACAGCATCAACAACATCAACAACACCCACCCCCACACCAATCACCTCTCAAACAATCAAACTCGTACACATCTTTACCCGATCACGAAAACCATAAAATTAACGTTCTTAGACACAACTCGGATCCACAACAACAAAAACAACAAGCAAAAAGTTTCCCCCAACATTATACTCCAAATTTACAATTTAGAAAAATTTGGGAACCTTCTTCCAATATATCTCGACCAAGAAATAGCTCATTGTTATTTGACCCATTAGCACCAGCACCAACCCAACCAACCCAACCAACACAATCACCAAAACTTACTCGGTCAATTACACCACCACCACAATCAACACCATCCATCCCCCCACCTCCTCCAAACCAATTAGGAAACCACATATTATCTAGAAATGATTCAACCACATCATCATTTCATCGAGATTCCATTGAAAGTAGTAGTATAAGTACGAGACTGTCGATCAAATTACCACCCCCATCATCAATTCATCGTGCATCCTCAAATTTATCCACTGATGAATTAAAATTTCATAAAAATAGCTTATTAAGTGAAAGTTATTCGATACCAAATTCACCATCTTCATCCTTTAGTAAAAAACCATCATCAATTCCCATAAGTAATTCAATTCATGAAAGATTAAGACCTTCATTGATTGAATTACATTTTGGAGGAGCTAATAATCAAACCCCGACAACAAATTCATTACCAACATCAATATCTTCAATTAAAAATAGTTTAAGTGGAGTTATGAAATTACATTCTGATTCAATTGGATCCCATTCATCACAAAATAATTCAATTTTTTCAAATAAATCATCAATATCAAGTTTATCTTCAAGTACTCAAAGAACATCATCATTTGGATCATTATCATTAGGAAATTCATTTGATATTCATAAACATTCAATTTCAATCGGACCACATGACCCAGTACCATTGCCAAATACAATTAATGAAGAAGAACAAAAATTAAAAGAAGAAGAAGGTGAAGAAAAAAAGGAAGAAGAATTCGTAAGACCAAGATCACCGTCATCGTTATCATCGGTACCAGTTGGACCAAGACCAAAATTTTTCAGAAGTTTAACTCCACCAAACTTACATTCAAAATATAATCAAAATTCTAAAATTCATTCACCAATTCCAAGGTCTTCAACTTCATTTGGTCAACATCATTCTCATCTTCATCATTCAAATCCACATTATCATCATTTACATTCTAATTTAAGAAGTCCTACAAATTCGCCATTATCAAGATCAATATTAAACGATACTGATCTGGAATCAAGCGAAGAAAAACCAAATGATTTAAATTTGGTGAAAAATAAAGTATCGGTAAATTCTTTATTGGATACTTCTAATCCTTCTACAAAATTATCGAATATTAATTCAATTATCAATGAAAGTGAACATGAAACTGAATCGGAAGATGATAAAAATGATCATTCAAAAATTTCTAATGATAATGATGATTTAGATGAAAATAAATCTCCAAAATCTACAAATAAAGAAATTAAACGTCAACGAATAGAATAGTCGTACCGATTGCTTGATTTCTTTGGCTGTTCTTTATGTCTATAGCTAACCTATGTAATGTATATCATAGATTTCTCCTCTCACGTTTGTTATGTCTTTCCATTCCTTTCCTTTAATCATTCTAGATTAGACTAATACAATAATATCTACATAGCCCTACCAACTTTATCTGGTGTATTACCGCTAAACAGAGTGCGACATGATCTTCAACAGCAAGAAAACGAACAAGTTGAAAAATGACGAACAAACAAAACAAAAAAAAAAAATTTCACATTAAGCAAACATTTCGCTTCAAACAAACATTTGTATCAATCTTCATATGAACAAACACTCAAATAAGCTATTTCCATATGATTATTCTCTTCTTGTTTTACTTCTATGATCAAAGGGGTCTCAACCAACTGACCAGCAAAGTGGGAATGAAAATACTACATTCACATGGTGCTCCATCATACTATTTAGACCGTGCATTTTTATCGTACAATCGATTTTAACCCTTCATTTTTTTGTGCTTTTTCGTCAATCTTTGTTAGCTTTAGCTTTGTTAACTCAAAGTTGTTGACTTTGTTGACTACGTTCATTTTGCTAATTTCCAACTTTGTTAGTTTTGTCAACTTTGTCCGTTGATTTGTCTTTTTGTCTCTTGTCTTTTTGTCTCTTGTCTTTTTGTCTCTTGTCTTTTTGTTTGGTCTTTTTGTTTTGTCTTTTGTTTTGTCTTTTGTTTTGTCTGGTTGTTTCTTGTATCACTGTCTACTTTGTCTCCCTTGTCTCCCTTGTCCAGTGTCAACTTTGTCCAGTGTCAACTTTGTCTAGTGTCAACTTTGTCGGTAATTGTCCCCACTTTGACAGTAATCCAATGGTACAGTTTATTGTTTGATTTTTCGTAATACCAAATTTCATTCTGCGTATATGTTTGAAATATTAACCTAATTGAAAATCTTTTTTTTCTTCATCTCTAAATTCTTTTCTTTTTCTGTATCTTTTATTTTTTTTTCTTTCGTTCTCTTTGGCTTTTTCCATTATACATTTACTAACTTTAAAACTTAATCTGTCATACATTTACTATGTCATACATGTCGTACTATACATCATTAAAATGGCCGTCCCTTTTTTCTCTTACCAATTTTTGCCATTGGTATGTTGGCTTTCTTAACTTGAGTACTGAAGCGACTCTCTTCATTCTCAGATTCGTCTTCATCTGAAACCACTTTCGATTCTTGTTTCTTTTTGGGTGGTAACTCCGAAGGCTTATTTTTAGCCACTTGTCTTACAGGAGTATTACTTCGTATCTGATTTCTCATCTTATTCTTTAAGGCATGCATGGCTTTACTTTCGCTATTTTTGTTGGGACCTGGCATTTCTGCTTTCTTTGTCAATTCCCGGCCTTCGCCCCTTATGAAGTCTCCAATCTTACCACTTGTTGTGCTATTTAGCCCCGATCCATTGGGGATTATGGGTAGATTGAAAAATTCATTTGACTCTCCATTTGCATTCGACTCCTCCTCCTCCTCCTCCTCCTTCTTCTTCTTCATGTTGGGTAGCCATTTTGTCACACGAGTGTTTGCTTGGCCAATGGCAAACTGAAACCTCGCCTGTAGCTCTTCCTTTTCCTTGATCTCTTTCCTTCGGTTGATCTTGGTGGACATTGGTAAAGAAGGAGTGGTGAATAGATGAGATGAGCTGACAGCTTCTTTTTTTTTTTTTTGTTGTTGTGCGATACTTTTTTCAATTACGTAATGCTTCTTTCAACGGTTTACATCAACTAATGATCTTCATCATAAACCTTGAATCCCAGTTGGTGTCGTACTTGCTTGCGTTGGCACTCCGCACCCACTTTGCCCGGGTGCCCCAGTTGAAGATTGTTGTATTAGAACATGATTCTAAAAATCACGATTTTAAACCGTGGTGTGGAATAAATACCTTCAATAATTATCATTTCGTTAATGATAATACCATAGCTAGTTTACTAAGCTTGTTACTCGGTAATGATTTTGATATCCATCGAATGGACTCGGTCCGCTTGAAGCCGTTGCCGGCAGCCAACTTCAACATGGATAAACCGTTGAATGAACTAATGGAAATCAAGCTATCATATAATAATTATTTGGGTTTGATCTACCATCCAATTCTAATTGTAAACAAGTTAAGGACGTTTTTGATAAATTCAAATATTGTCCTTACCACCGTGTGGAACAATGGCCAATTTTTATCCCAAATGGCGGGCACTTACCCTCAAGACCAAATCATCCAGTTGAATTCAAATATCTTCACCTATAATAATCTCATGGTTAACTCCAATTTAACCCAGGTAGTCTACCAAAATGTCTTTTCGAAAAAACCTCCATCCTCGCTACTATGGATTCCGAAGTTCAAAACTGGCTTAGGGAAATCAAATTTCGAAATTAACGTCCATCGCTCGGGCAAACTCACCCATATTAATTTACTCATTTCAAATCATCTTGATCTTGATCTATACCAAGTCTTTAAAATGATCGACATTTACTTGAACTCGCTAGATCAGTTATCCCTTTCCGGTGACTTGAATCTCAATTTTGCTAAATTTTAATACACTTTATGCATTGACAAAAATATATATACTGTATATTCATTAAACCGGTAAAGTATTAATACCGGCCAATCTATCTATGGTTGGAGCAATGATTGGATTACTCAATACATCTCCAATATACGGAATCGATCTCAAAAATTGGATAATGGTTCCAAAAAAATCTCCAAAAAGTCCTAGAATTCCAAAACTTTCAATTATAAACCCAATAAAGGTTCTTCTCATAAGAATTAATAGTATCCCCATACAAAAACAAATAGTTCCCCGAACCTTGGTGGGCCTGGTGAAAAATGTCACGGTTCTCTGTGGTCCTATAATTAATATCAACCCAGTAACAAATAAGATATTCCCAAGGGCTAGTAAAGCATGATCAAAAAATGTTAGGATTCCCAATACAAAACAAATGAATCCGCATGCGGTAAATCCAACCCCAAACTCTATCCTTGTTAGTATCGCTCTATCGCGTTTCTCTTCGGTCAAACATACTTTGTCTTTGATTAAGCCAAATCATTTGCAGCCAATTTCTTGTCTAGTTTCAAATTGTAGTTGTTTAAGCTTTCACTGTTTTTTTTTTATGTCGAAGCCGTTGATTCTCTGGTTTATGGGTGTTTTATTGCTCGTTCGAGTTTTTGGTGCACGGGTCGTTTCTCCTGTTGTTGCAATCCCTCCACCCTAAAAAAAAAAAGTGATCAAACCCATTAAGATTAGCCTATCGTATATCAAGTTGAATACCCAAATAAAGATGGACTCGAAGTCGTCGCAAGATGCTCCTCCTCCTCCTAGCTACGAGGAGGCCATAAAAGATAGCCACACGCCGGCTCCTCCCCCAAGACCAACAAGACCTGCAATGGCAACCCCGTCCCCAGCTACTTCAAACCCAAGTCCAAGTCTAAACTCCCGCCCCCCACAATCAAATAACTCGAACCAGAACGATGGTACCTTATACACTACGAATCCAAACTTACCTTTCAAATATCCAAGAGGCCATTTTTGCCAGAAATGTAAAAATTCGGGTTTCAAGTTGAAAAATGGTAAAGCTTGTAGAGACTGCTGGTCTAAATTCTATCTACAGAATAATTCGTATAATCCAAACCCCCAATTACCCTACCGTTATCCAAAAGGTTATTTATGTGATAAGTGTAATAACACTGGCCATAAACTAAAAAATGGCTTATCTTGTCAAAACTGTTATGAGTTATTTTCTCCTCGTAATAAATCATCCTATTCTTCTTCGGTTCCTTTCATGTCTTCTACTTCTTCTGGTTTTGGTTTTGTTGATAACATCTTGGGTGGCTCTCGTGCTAATTTGGTTTCAACAACCTTTAATTCCTATGGTACAAATACGATGTCTACTACCTCGAGTGGGCCCCTAAGGGTCTTACCTGGTGATCCAAGAATAGGTGGAATCCTCTGTGGAAGATGTAGAGGAAGTGGGCAAGTCACCTTCTTATTTGATAACGATTTATGTAATGTTTGTGGTGGAACTGGTAGAATTTTAACCCAACATCCTCCACACCCTCCTCCAATGCATCATCCACCACCGCCTAATTTCAATCGTCCTCCCCCACAGAATCCTTACTATAATATTCCTGGTCAATGGAAAAACTGATATTTTCATTTCTCTACACATTTTGTTTTGTTCTGTTTTTATTATATATATATATGTATATTTACAAAGTTTTATTTTTAAAACATGAGATTAATGACATTAAGTAATATAAAAGGGCAACATTTCGAGTCATGAATAAAGAATTGAATAAATTAACTTAGTTTTTGTAGTTAGATGGGTATTTGAAATCAGTTAATTCATAAAAGTTTTCTTTAATATTTCTAACTGAAACAAATCTACTTAAGATATTACCAGAACCAGCTTTATCGTTAGTACCAGACATTCTAGCACCACCGAACCATTGTTGACCAACAACAGCACCAGTACATTTATCGTTGACGTAGAAGTTACCGGCTGAGTAACGTAATTTTTCTTCAGCTAATCTAAGAGCATCACGATCTCTAGCAAAGATTGAACCAGTTAAAGCATATTTAGTAGCGGTATCGATGGTTTCCATAATGTTTTCAAATTCAGCATCTGGATAAACATAAGCAGTTAATAATGGACCAAAGAATTCGGTAGTTAAAAATGGATGGTTTGAATTAGTAGTTTCAACTACAGTTGGTTGAACAAAGAAACCAGCTTCTTTATCATATTCACCACCTTTAACAATCTTTAATTCTGGATCAGTTTTAGCTTGGTCAATAGCCTTAGCTAATTTATCAAAAGATTGTTCATGAATAACTGGACCCATAAAAGTTTGTAAGTTTGATGGTTCAGCGGTATTACCAATGGTAATATTATCCATAGCAGCACCTAATTTGGTTTGGAATTCAGGCCAAAGGGATTCTGGGACAAATAATCTTGAAGTGGCAGAACATTTTTGACCTTGGTATTCAAAAGAACCTCTTAAAGTAGATAAGACACTATGATCAACAGAAGCAGATGGATGAACTAAATGGAAGTTTTTACCACCGGTTTCACCAACAATTCTTGGGAAATCTCTGTATTTATCTTCAGCAACATTAGAAGAAATCTTAGAGTATAATTGTTTAAAAACATCAGTAGAACCAGTAAAGTGTAAAGCAGAGAAAGCACGGTCATCCAAAACGTGTTTAGTAACTTCTTGTGGGGAACCTGGAATAAAGTTAATAACACCTTTTGGTAAACCAGCTTCTTCTAAAATTTGTAATAAGACATAGTTAGATAAGGCAGCGGTAGCAGATGGTTTCCAAACAACAGTATTACCCATTAAAGCTGGAGCACCAACTAAGTTACCAGCGATGGCGGTAAAGTTGAAAGGAGTAACGGCGTAAACAAAACCTTCTAATGGTCTGTATTCAGCTCTGTTCCAAACACCTGGGGATGATTCAATTGGTTGTTGTTGATACATTTCTTCAGCATATTTGACATTAAATTTAAAGAAATCAATTAATTCAGCAATACAATCAATTTCAGCTTGGAAAACGTTTTTACCTTGACCCAACATGGTAGCAGCAAGCATATCGTATCTATATTTAGTAGAAATCAAATCAGCGGCTTTTAAAAAGACAGCTGCTCTATCGGCCCATGGAGCTGAAGCCCATTTAGCTTTGGCAGTTTTAGAAGCTTCAATGGCAGCTTTAATATCTTCTTCAGAAGCTTGGGCAACGTTAGCCAAGACTTGAGAATGTTTAGATGGATTGACTTGAGGTTTAGTTGGTCTATCATAAATTTTTTCACCATTGATAACAATTGGAATTTCCAAAGCACCGTTATCGGTGAATTTAGTAATAGAAGCTCTCAATAAGTCCCAGTCTTTTTGATCATTGATACCAAAGTTTTTAACTGGCTCATTGGTCAAATTTGGTGGAACTTTAGCATGAGCTAATTGGGATGCAAATCTAACACCAACTCTAGCATTTCTTGCAATAGCACGAGTTAAACTTGGAGTAACTCTAACGGAAGCAGTACGAATTAAAGTACGGGTAGTGGTTCTCAACATTTCTAACTTAATGTTCAAACTCTTGTTGAATAACTTAATGGAAAATTCTTCAAATCAATAATATACCTGGCGGAATCTGATTCCTGTTTATATAATTTTTCACTATTGACTTTCCAGTCATTGAAGGATTGGTTATATAAAGCGAGATGAGGCCACAACTAAACCTGCAAACACAAGCGAGCGCACCAAAAAAGGTTTAGTAGTGGAGATTTTCTCCTGATGGAAACCCCTAGCGAATCTCCCCGTAAATACAATTTTTCAGTGCTTAAGCTACAATTAAGGAATGGTTCATTATCGTGGATTAAGTTACTTGATTGATTAAATAGCTACTTAATTTACCCTGTATACTGGTTGAGTCGATGGCTAGTTGAGTATATGGATCAAGATGTCTTGTTCAAGAGATCCACTTTATTTGATACTTGATTTAAACGGTCTTCTATTTCCTTTTTATTGATTTCGAAAATGGAACGACGATTGTCTAAATCTTGGTTCACTTTATCAAGGGACTCGTTCCATTTAGACATATCCATTTTCATACTTTCCAATACTTGATCAATGCCATTAACAGTGCTAACCGTTTGGCCTATATCAGCATGAATTTTATGTAGAGATTTGAGTCTTGCGAGTAAAGAAGGTAAAATGGCATTAACGTTATCAAATTCATCTATTCTATCATAAAGACTATTGACTTTTTGTTCAAAAGTGCTTCGACTTTGTTGTGTTTGTTGAATCTGATCATATTTATTGTTACTTTTACTTGTTATTAATGCTAACTTTCTATTGGTGGCCAATCTTTCGGTTTCTTTATTCAAGTCACGTATTTCCTGCTTGATTTTATTAAGTTGAAATTCAGGATTATAAATAATATTGATTTTTCTAGTCAAATCATTTAAGTGATTTTGAATGGTTTTATTCCTTGGTTTATGAATCGAATTCTGTAATTGTTGCAAACTTTCAGACCCCAATAAATTCTCTATAGTATTTAGCTTGGATTCTAATAGCAATATGTTTGCACTTGAACTTTCAACTGGGTCTGTCTTTGAGTTCCTTTGCTCTTCACTAGTATCTACTTTTATATTACTGAAAATTTCTTTAATTCTTTGATTATAATAATTTATTTCCTCGTGTTTTCTATCGGATACACTGAGTTCCTCGAGTAAGGAGACCAAATTGTCGATTTCACTAGGTTCTTGATCACTTTGCTCTACCTCTTCCTTGCTCTTAATCAATTGGATCTCTTCCAATTCCCTTTTTATGCGGGCCAATTTCTGTTCTATCGTTTCATCAATGGCTGTAACTTTATACCCATTCTTGAAGAGACTTTTTTTGCTTATATCACCCAGAAAATTGACAATATCGACCTCGCCAACTAAATGGTCATTGGCAAACCTTTTCTTCGCGTCTTTACTTGAAAATGTCGATTGGTCGATATCAGAATCTTCTTCATTTTGAACAGTTGTTTGAGAAGCCGAGATATCTAGATCACTTTCTATATCTGAGGATTCAAATACGTCCTGAGACTCGTGGTCAATGTCAGGTAGATCCTGATACTTATCAGCCATTGAGATAGTAGTTTCCTTCTTTCAAGTAGTGAACTTGTTGGGTTTATTTATATTTGTTCTTTTGGTCTTTTGTTCTCTGGTACTTTTTTTTTTTAATTACGCGATTTGATCTCTTCATACCTCGTACAATACTTTACTTTTATTACATAAATAAACTCAACTATTTAGCTACTATTTGAACAACGTCTTCGTCATGAACAGGATGTTGTAATCCACATTTCTGTGGGGAGTGTTTGGAACTAGAACCCCAAACTAATGCATATTTGAATTGATTTTTCATATCTCTATGAACGGCATCACAAACTTGTAAAATAGTAGAATTTGCTCTAACAACCATTGGATCATCAAAGTTAGGAGCAATTCCTCTTCTTTTAGTGTATAGCCTGATTAAACCTAATTGTCTCCAAATTTCTGCTTTCAAATCTTCAATACCAAGATCCAATTCACAAGACATTACCACGGTATTTGGTTCTCTGGCCAATCGATCACATTCTTCTAATGAAACAGCATCAATCTTATTATAAACATATAAACATTTGATATAGGAAATATGCTGGTCATTAATTATGTCAATGAAATCATCAATGGTAGCATTTTCATCTCTTATAAGTACGTCAGCGTTATGTATTTTATAGTCTTTTAATAAAGCACTAACAATTTTTTCATCTAAATGTTTAGGAGGCGAAATAGAATTCAACTTGACCCCACCAGTACTCTTAATCTTGAGAGATATGTTTGGTCTTTCCTTATTCAATCTGATCCCCATTGTTTCTAATTCATTTTCTAAGATTTCTCTTTGATCTCCTCCTTTAGTTGCATCCAAAACCATCATGATCAAATCTGACGTTCTTGAAACCGCAATTACTTGTCTCCCTCTACCTTTACCTTGAGATGCCGCCTTAATAATACCCGGTAAATCAACAATTTGAACTTCAGCCCCATTATACTGAAGTATACCACCAACCGATGTTAATGTAGTAAACTCATAGTTTGCAGCTTCCGATTTAGTATTAGTAACTTTGGATAAAAATGAGGATTTACCAACCGATGGAAACCCAATCAATGACACACGCGCATCCCCAGCTTTAGAAACTTCAAACCCTTGACCACCTCCAGAGGATCCCTGTCCAGGTTGAGGTTCTAATAACTCACGACGTAATCTGGCCAATTTCCCCTTCAAAAGACCAAGATGGTATTCAGTGGCCTTGTTCTTTTGCGTTCTGGCCATCTCATCTTGAATGGCTTTAATTTTTTCCAAAGCACCCATCTTGATTGCTAGCTGATCTTCAACTAATGCTTCAACACTCGTTAGTATTGGTTCATCTTCATGGCTTTTTCGACTTTCACTGAGAAATGAAAAAAAAAAAAAAAAAAAAAAAAAAATCAAAAGTCTGTATGCAGGTCTGGTGAAAAAAAAAATATCTATTGAAGAAGGCCATCGCAGATATTGAAAAGTACAATGATTTAATACCATAAGAAAAGCCTGATAATGCCAAAAGCACCTCCAAGAAGACCTGCCCATAGGGATGCCAGAGATGCGTCTGTTGCTCTGTCTGGTAGTATCCACAAGGTCAGAAAGAGAATAAGAGATATAGAGAGATTATTGAAGAGAGAATCGATTCCTGCTGATATCAGAGTTGACAAAGAAAGAGAATTGAAAGCATTGAATGTGACTCTCGATGACGCTGCACATGACCAGAAAATAAAGAAGATAGCTAAGAAGTACCATATGGTTCGGTTTTTCGAAAGAAAGAAGGCAATTAGAAAACTAAAACAGGCTGTTAAACAGTATGATTCTGCCGTTGAAACAGAAGTTAAGAAAGATATTAAGAAGGCAAGAAAAGTGGTTAAACATTGTCAAGTAGATGTTGCCTATGTGGTTTTATTTCCTAAGGATGAAAAATATATATCGTTGTATCCAAATTCCGAACCTCAAGATATATCGAATCCAAAAGTTAAAAAGGGTATTCAACAAGCCGAGGAGAGATCAAGAAGCTTCAAGAAGTATGTTGAATCTTTAATCGATCAAGAGAAATTGCCCTTCTCTCTTGATGATGCAGTTGCAGGAAAGACTATCTACGTCGATGAAAAGAGAAATTTCGAAAATCAAAGAGAGATTGATGCTCCTGAACATGCACAAGATGAAAATGAAGAAGATGATTTCTTCGAATGATTCAATTCTTATATATTGTATATTAGTTCCCATTTATATAAATAGCATTATTCTAAATCACTCTTGCAAAAGAGTATGTTTCATTGAATACTTTATATCTAAAGCATCATTGATACATAATATTGTAACATCCATTCCTTCCATGTCTTCTGGTATTTCTAATACACATGAAACTTTACCCTTCTTTCCCATCAACTTAGGAGAGGCTCTTTTAACAAGCAAAAGTTCATCTTTTTCTTGATTACAGATAATTATGAACCAACTTTCTCTTTGGGGTTTGGGGAAATGTGGGCAGTACATCTTGAAGTCACGGTTCAATGCGTGGTTATCGTGAAGAATTTCCAATTTTAATTCTTTAGATTCCTCTTGGTGTACTGAGACCTTACCAATTGGTAGACATGAAGCTACTCTAACAAACTCTTTTTTCATATCTTCCGTTGAAAGAACATCAGTAGGAATATCCTCTTCCTCCTGATCTTCATCAATCTCATATCCCGTAACGCCCAAGCTGTCAGCCAATTGTGACAATTTATTGTGTCCAAGCTTTCCAACCAGCATCAAGCTCATGGATTTTTTGGTCTTCTTCTCCAACTTGAGTCCCGGTAATGCCAATACATGATCATCATCATACCAATAACGTTGTTTTATACATTGCATTAATTCAATGAAGGTCAAAACCGTATTAAGATATCCCAACTCCGAAGCAGCATCAATGTATGCTTGTAAAATACGTAAAGCTTGATCAAGAACAGACACGGTATCTTGTGCATAATCAGCAATTGGTAGCTCGACTCGAGACATAAATGCTTGAACCAATAAATATGTCTTAACATGAGGATCCCAGATAAATTCACATTGTAAATCTTCCGCAGGGTATCTCATTGCTTGAGATAACTCCATGTTGATGAGCTCTTCTCCGTGACGAGTTGCTAATTCATCAAATTCTGTAGCTTGACATAAAAGTTTTAAACAATCTCTAAATGAGGAGTCTTTACTTATGTTGTTAACAAAGTTTCTGATGGTCTTATGGGATAAATAATAATAAGAAGAAATATGTAAGAATGGGGTAGGGAATATTTCATCTCCAGCACCAGAAATTACACATTTGGATTCAATAAGATTTTCAACCGTTTGATCAACCAAGTTAGCAAGATATTTTGAAATACCAACAGAGCTTGTATCTTCAATACCATAATAAGTTGGGTTATTATGAGCTCTTCTATAGAGGAAAGTCCAGGTAAGGAAATCCATTGCCTCTTGTCTAGTTGTTATGGTACCACCAGATATTTCGGCACCAATATGGTTATCTAAAACTTTGTGTAATGATGATTCAACTGGGAAACCAATGTTTAGGAAATGCTTATAGAAAACTTTTTTAGCCTCTTTTGTGTATACCATTGCTATACCACTAGTATCGAAAGCAGGACGACCCGCTCTACCCATCATTTGTAAAATATCAGTCAAATCCATATCTCTATATGCTTCAATCTTTGCATCGAAAAATTGAGTACCTTTGATAATAACCAAATGTGCAGGTAAATTAACACCCCATGCTAATGTTGAAGTTGCAACTAAAATTTGAATTTTACCGGATTCAAACAATTTGTGGGAAATTTGACGATCCGATTCTACTAAACCAGCATGATGCAACCCAATACCAAACTGCAAAGATAATTTTAATGTGTCATCCTTCACATCAAGTAAAATTTCCAGAAGTTCACTGTCGTCTATGTGAAGGAATCTACGTGGGTTGGATTCAGAACCACATAAATGGATAAGATCGAGTGCTGTTAAACGTGTTTGACGACGGGACGCAACAAACACTAAAACAGGCTTAGTTGGTGAATGCTGCTTGATGGCCATAAAAGCAGGTTTATTCATGGTTTTCATTAATGGGCAAAAGGCTAAATTATCTGGAAATCCATCAATATACATTTGTAAGGGAACAGGACGAACAGACTGAGGAAAATTGAAAAGTCCCTCCTTCACACCAAGCCATCCAGCCATATCCATAGCATTAGAAACGGCAGTTGACATCCCAAGTAATCTTATGGGCTTCTTGGTTTGAGATGATATATAGTTCATACGACTCACAATCATTTCCAAAATTGGACCTCTATCACTGGCTAACAAATGAATTTCATCCATGATAACTAAGGAAACTTGTTGAACAAATTTTCTTGTTTGCCAATTACGAGATATACCATCGAATTTTTCTGGGGTTGTAATAATGATGTCGGCTTCCCTCACTTCTTTAGCTTCGGGCAAAGAATCACCTGTTAATTCGACTAGCTTGTGATCAGTATTTTTAGTGATTCTCTTTCTCCAATCATCAACTCTTTCTCTAACCAAGGCTTTCATTGGAGCAATATACACTATTTTCGAACCAGGAAACTCATTGAATGCATGCCAGATAGCTAATTCAGCAACAACTGTCTTACCGGACCCAGTTGGAGAACCAACAAAAACACTGGAGTTAGTGTTGTATAAAGAATGAAAAACCATTGTTTGCATAGGATTAAAGTAATGAAACTTGTTAGAATAGATGGATTCAATTTCTTTATTGTGAAGTGCCGAAACTGGTAAAGGTTGCAATCTCAATAAATTAGTTCTTATTGTATCATTAGATGGAGTTATAAGATGTTGAAAAGAAACTGTAAAGATATTCTCGGACCCAATCCAAGAATCAGAAATCGCTCTGATAACAATTTGAGGTGGTGGTGGATCAGTTAAAGGAATCATAAAATCGAGCTCATGTGGACTCTTCATCAGTCTCCTGTTCAAGATGAACCTTTCAACATGGAGAATATTGGAGTCGTTTGACTCTTCAACAGTGATCCAAAAAAATTGAGCATTCCCATGATACTTTTCATCCCATACGAAATCAGGATCCAAGCTAACATGTACTCTCATAACGTTACTTGTAATGGGAAAAGCTTCGGCATCGATTTCTAAGTAAGGAAATCTTCCAATGAGTTTGTAAAGCGTTCTTCCCATACCGTTGTTATGCACTAAAGATCCTAATTCACCAGCATCCATATCTCTCAAAGATCCAATGGTGGGATTCTTTGCTCTGATGTTTCTTAACACGGGTAACGGTAAATCAAATTGACATAATGGGTGATCAAACGCCCATATTCTTTTATCAATAGATTTACAGATGGAAAGCATAATTTTCAGGAAAATACCCCATCTTCTGTTTATACCAATAAGGAATAAAGCACGACAAATTCTTGCGGAGTTTTGAGCAACATAGTTACTATCCGATATCAAAGAAGAATCTTTTATCAAAGATTGAGAGACATAAGCCTGCAAAAGAATATTAGTCTTTCCTTGAGGTGAATCAGCATCTCCTGCAACTTGACAAGGAGCATCATTTTCGAGAAGATTCTTCAATTCATTTGCCTCTTCTTCCCTAAATTTAATACTGTCAAACTCACTACTCATACTAATCATGGATAACACATCAGCTTCTGTGGCTCTTGGATTTAGCATTTGATTGAAAATCTCCACAGAGTTATTCAATAAATAAAAGTCGGATGCAATTCTTCCTAAATCTTTTGATGTAAATGCACTAGCTTGTTCATCGAAAACGATCATCTGTAAATGATGAAGTCTTCTTGCTGCAGAAACGATCATATCATGACGTCTATTGTTTAACAAAGGGTCTTCTTGAAGCTCTCGCCAATCAATACCATAAGCAAACGGATTTTGTTTCATTCTAACCATCATATAAGTGTAGCCTAACCATTGAACACCTTCATGCACGTTTGTCACGGTACCCAAAGAGATTTCTGCATTTAAGTTGTCGATCAATTTGCTACTTAATCGAGACTCTATAGGGTGTTGTTGAGTAATAAGAGAAACATAGTGATCTAATCTATCACTAGTGGTACACAAGATACCCGTACCATATTTTTCATACTGGGGTCTACCAGCACGACCAAAAATTTGAATCACATCTGAAATACCTAAATCAACAAACCCACCTTGTTTGGAATCATAAACTTGGGTACCTTTTACTATAACAACAGCTGCAGGTAAGTTGACCCCCCAAGCCAAAGTGGCAGTACAGCATAATACCTTTAAGGCCCCAGATTCAAACATTTTTTCTGTTAAGTTACGGTCTGATCTTAACATACCAGCATGATGTATACCAAAACCATTTTGAAACAATTCTTTCATATCTTTATTCCTATCCCTTGAAGCCATTTCTCTCTTAAATTTTCCATAAGATTCACATGTTTCCGATGTATCAAAATATGATAATTCACCCATATCCTGAGCCATTGAAATGAAAGTACGGGCAGTTTTCACTGTATCTTTACGAGAATTAACAAAGACCATTACCTGGACACCATTGCTAACATTTTCAAGTAATTTCTCGTACGAAACTTTGTCGATGTTCTCTCTAGCCTGTTTTGACCCTGCTTTACCCCTAACACCCAACAATTCTTGTTTTAAAGGACAAGGTCTAAAAGACTGATCAAAGTAAAACATACCTATTTGTCTATTTACACCCAAAAAATCAGCAACGTCCATGTAGTTCGGTAGGGTTGCGGAGAGACCAACAACTCTTATCATCAGCTGAGAACTCTCAACTTGTCTAAGAGTACGAGCAACTAACGTTTCTATGACAGAACCTCTATCTTCATGCAAGAGATGGACTTCATCAATGATCAATAGCTTAACTTTACCGACTAAGTCACTATCACCACTCAGTTTTCTAGTTACAACATCCCATTTCTCTGGGGTAGTGACAATAATTTGAGTGGTCATAATTTCTGCTTTTGTCAATTGCATATCACCAGTCAATTCTCTTACAGCTATACCGAGCCATTGCAATTTTTTTGAAAATTTTTCAACAATTTCAGCTGCCAATGCTTTCAATGGAGCAATATAAACAATTTTGAATTCATCATAATCTATATCTACATTGACATCACCATCTTCACCAACTGATTCAGTAACGAATTGGTTGATGGTATGCAAAATTGTCAATAAAGCAACATCAGTTTTACCGGCACCAGTTGGAGCACAAACTAACATGTTCTCATTAGTGTTGTATGCAACTGGATATACTAAACTTTGCATCTTGTTGAGGGTTTTATAATTATTGAAAGTACCTTGGCATAGAAAGTCTAATCCTTTCACTTTAACTAATTTATCATCTGTTATCCATTTATTAGTTTGGTTTTCAGGATAAGGTATAATGATCTCTTCATGAGTAGGTCGACTCTCTCTGGTAGTTCCCATAGGTAAAGAAAACTTTTTACCCGTTATCGACAACATATTGCCAATGTCGGGTTTTTTGAAAACATGAGGGTAGTCCCCACCGGATTTTACAGGTGCTGCTAACTTCTGATTCCGTGATCTTTCTTGATTCTCAATCAATTGTTGTACTCTCTGTTCCGTAGTCATTATCGACGGATCATCGTTGGAGGAATCTAAATCTTCGTCTGCAAGAACATTCTTATTCTGAATGACTTTAGAAATTAGATCAAATTCGTCGAACCCCAAGATATCAAACAAAGAGGACTGAATCTCTTCATCACTAGGATTCGAAGAAAGTATCCCTAATATAACATTAAAAGTTTCGTCGGCGGGTTGATCTCTCAGCTTACTAATTCTTTCACACTCTGTCTTAATACTTCTAATCACAGACTTACTCACCAGCAGTGAATCGGTGACCTTGGTGAGAACCTCCGAAGACAAGCCCTGGAATCTCTCTAAGATCTTCTTCACTGGTGTTATCTTATTCTGCTCATTATCTATCTTAGGCACCTTCTCCTCCAATGGAATGTCCATTTTTGCTAGAACATCCATTAACGGAGCCATTGCTTGCATGTACGACTTTGTCGATGAGACAGAATACGATGCCATTTCCTGGATTCTCTAATCAGTTATTCAAAGACGATAATTAACCTGAATCTAGTTCTTTTTGCAAAAATCTACTTGATCTTATAATTTTCAGTGACTCAGATTTAACTGTAAAGGTGTCCGGGTCTGTGCTGCCTTCCTTGATCATGTGATCGGTTGTGTGCAGTACCAAAGTGTTTTAAATCAGATGCGATGAGGAAGAAATTTTGAAAAAAAAAATTATGTATATATAATTAATCTAGTTTTTCATAGTGATTACGGGAAAAGCAAGTATCAAAATGGCTAAATCGTCTAAGGCATCCAAGGTAAGGGCTTCAGCACCAAAGGAATCTAAGAAAAGAAGCCACCAAGAGGCAGATGCTGAAGGCTCCGAAAACGAAGAATTGGTGAATCAATTAGATGATGAGTTCGATGAGGTAGCTGGATTGTTGGGTCAAGATGTCAAGGATCCAGAATCCAAGAAGAAATCTAAGAAAGAAGAAAAGAAGCAGGCTGAAGAAGAGGTCACCAGAGAATTAACCAAACCATCAGCTAATGCTGACCACGATGATGTTGTTACTGATAAATTCGAAGAAGCTGGTTTATCTGAACCAACCATGAAAGCTATTAATGATATGGGTTTCAAAACTATGACCAAAGTTCAAGCTAAAACCATTCCTCCATTATTGGCTGGTCGTGATGTTTTAGGTGCTGCTAAAACTGGTTCAGGTAAAACTCTTGCATTTTTAATTCCAGCTATTGAAATGTTATATTCTTTGAAATTCAAACCAAGAAATGGTACCGGTGTTGTTATTGTTTCACCAACTAGAGAATTGGCTTTACAAATTTTTGGTGTTGCTAGAGAATTAATGGCTCACCACACTCAAACTTTTGGTATTGTCATTGGTGGTGCTAACAGAAGACAAGAAGCTGAAAAACTTGTTAAGGGGGTCAACTTATTAATTGCCACTCCTGGTAGATTATTAGATCATTTGCAAAATACTCAAGGTTTTATTTTCAGAAATTTGAAAGCCTTGGTCATCGATGAAGCTGATAGAATTTTAGAAATTGGTTTCGAAGAAGAAATGAGACAAATTATTAAAATTTTACCAAATGAAGACAGACAATCTATGTTATTTTCAGCAACTCAAACCACTAAGGTTGAAGACTTAGCTAGAATTTCTTTGAGACCTGGTCCATTATATATTAACGTGGTTCCAGAAACTGAAGTTTCCACTGCTGATGGATTAGAACAAGGTTATGTTGTTTGTGATTCCGATAAAAGATTTTTATTATTATTCTCCTTTTTAAAGAGAAACTCAAAGAAAAAGATTATTGTTTTCCTTTCATCATGTAACTGTGTTAAATATTTCGGTGAACTTTTGAACTATATTGATTTACCAGTCTTGGATTTACATGGTAAACAAAAACAACAAAAGAGAACCAATACTTTCTTTGAATTCTGTAATGCTAAACAAGGTATCTTGATCTGTACCGATGTTGCAGCCAGAGGTTTGGATATTCCAGCAGTTGATTGGATTATTCAATTCGATCCACCTGATGATCCAAGAGATTATATCCACAGAGTGGGTAGAACTGCTAGGGGTACTTCTGGTAAAGGTAAGTCATTAATGTTTTTAACTCCAAATGAATTGGGTTTCTTGAGATACTTAAAAGCTGCAAACGTTCCTTTGAACGAGTACGAATTCCCTACCAATAAAATCGCAAATGTTCAAAGTCAGTTAACAAAATTAATTAAAAGTAACTATTGGTTACATCAATCCGCCAAAGATGGTTACAGAGCTTACTTACAAGCTTATGCTTCTCATCATCTTAAGACTGTGTATCAAATTGACAAATTAGACTTGGTCAAAGTCGCTAAGTCTTTTGGTTTTGATGTTCCTCCAAAAGTTAACATCACTATTGGTGCCAGTGGGAAATCTATTGAAAAGAAGCATAAAAAACAAAAAAGAGCTTAATTTAATTAGGTCAAGCTCTCATAATTTTTAAATTACTCTGCATTACCTCAAAGTGGCTTTCACCTTCTATCATGTATAAATAGTTATATCTAATTCTTCACATCATCGTAATCATTCAAGAGCCTGGAATGATTCTTATGTACATTAATTATAAAGTTTTTAGATTTTTTCATTATTGTAGAAGCCTTAAAAGTTGTGAAATCGAAGACATCTTGTTGAGGAAAAACAAAAAAAAAAAAAAAAAAAATTTGTATTGAAAAAGCATACGAATAGAACTCATCCCTATCAAATCACCAAAGTGACACCCCTTGATTATGAAAATATTGAGTGAAAGAGATCAGTTTTTGTCCAATTATGAGGTTTTCGAACACTTGAAGGGCCTTAAGTCCAAATACGATTGGACTTTTACACCAGAAGATGAAGAAGCATTGAAGAAGAAATATGAAAATTCTAAGCATAAACGATACAAAAGGTTCACAAACTGTGGGTTGGACCTAGAAGTTATAACTAGAGACATGACTGAGTATTTTTCAAGACTATCGTCTTCTATGATTACTTCCAAAGAAGGATTTAAGGAATTGATGATTTACTTAAATACATTCGATCTCATGAAGATAGAGAAACTACAAATTGTGAATTCTTTACCTAGATCAATGGCTCATTTGTATGTTCTAGTTGAAGAATGTGATCAAAGATTGGATGAAGAGGCATGTGAAGGAATCTTGCAGAAGATCGGTGAACTTTTCCCCTCCGAAGAAGAGGAAGAAGAAGAGGAGGAAGGTGAAGAACAGCAAGGTGATGATGAGCAAGAAATTGCTGAAGAGGAAGGAGAGGAAGGGCAATTAGAAGAACAAGCAGATGCAACTACTGAACAGTAAGTCGGATCCAAAACTGCTGGAGTATACTTTGCTTATGAAGTTAAACTCGGTTTAACATAATCAAACTTTAGTCATAAAACTTGTACATTAAAATAAATATATGGTCATTAAATAAACTATTTACATTTCTTCCCTGTAAACATCAATCCAGCTTTAATTCTGAATCTCGTTCAACACTCTATATGAAATTTCCCATCAATGTTTTATCTCCAAGATCAAATTCATCGTCGTCTTTACTTTCAGAATCGTCTTTCTTTTGAAATTTAACACCCGTTGTTTCAATAGGAGGACTATCTTCAGTTGAATGCGTTGCACGAAGAGTTTCGTTATTTACCGTTGCATTTGAATAGCCATTATACCATTGATCTCTCAAATTACCAACAATCTCACTAACATCTGATAAAAGTCCAGTTGGACCAACTGCAAATATGGAATCTGAATTATCTTTAGAATTAATCCAAGTATGTTCACTTTCTTCTGGTGCTTGCAATCCTATCTGCTTTTCTTTTTCCTTTTCCTTCTGTTGATCGATTATTTCATTTTGTCTTGAAATCAAGTCTCGAGATAAAATACTCGATAAGTCTATTTGGTTATCTAATGAATCGACACTTTGAATTTTAGAGCTTTCTGAATTCGAAATTTCATCTCCAGAACTAATATCAAAATGATTCTTCACTAAATGCTCTATCACTGGCCATCCATAAGCATTTGAAAATCTTCTACGAACAATAATATTATTATGGGCATCAGGCTTCAATTTGACAAGCACCTTTCTCCAAGTCATATTTTTATGATACTCTCTAGCAATATCCTCTTCCAAGGCATCGGTATCAACATTAGAGTAATCAAGCGTATTAAGTATTCTCTGTCTAAGTCTTAATCCACCATTTTCCGTTGAGCCTTCAGCTCCATGAGAACCACTTCGGGTAAATCCAGGTTTGGTATCCTTAGGTGGTAAATCCTCTTCCTTGTATAATTGATCATGGATAATAACATTTTCACGAGCATCTGGATTTGTAATGTACTTGAGAGAAGGTAATGGCGGTAATATCAATGAAGTAGCAGTTTCTAAAACCGATGCCTTCGGTAAAGATTTATACACATGATCGATACTAGAAGATGATTCTAAATCGGTCATTGTTTGATATCTATGTAGTTCACCATTGGATTGTTTCTGTTGTTTTTGAGGCATGAAATATGACAACATGGCCTGCATAGGCAAGGAGATTATTGAATCTTCATTCTTATTCCGGTCTTGATCTTTAATTTCCAAATTCTTATTAGGAGGAATTTTATTAGCTGAACCTTCTTTCAATTGATTTGAACTCATTATTTGTGATAAACCTTTATAGTCCAAAAAAAGTAAAGCAGATGTCCTTAAAGGAACAATCCCATCATTTATAACATTGGAGTAAACTGTTCTTCTAACGAATTTCTTTAAAACCTGGTGGGTTGGGCCAGTAGGCAAAAGAAGTAATAAGGGTTTATCATCGTTCTCAACGAATTTCAAGCCTAAGTCTTGTCCAGTCATTCCAACAATACCAGCCAGTAGAGCAAGTTTTATATATACCGGATTATCATTCACTACTCCAAGTAGAGGTGATGCTAAAGTGATAAAATTAACTGGAATTATAGAATCAAAAAACCAAGGAAAGTTATTCTTTAAGTAAGCAATTGCAAAAGTCTGAACCAATCCACCCAAAGAATGAGCAATAAATGAAATCTTCTTTACTTTGCCGTTATTGAATTGTTCATTCTTCGTTACTAATTCAACGATGTACTCTGCTACCCGACTTCCTAAATATTTTATACCACGTTCAGTTTTACATATGTTCCCAAAAAAACCTTTCACCACTATATTATCTTTATATCCCACCTTATCGATTTCTTCTTTCAAGTATAACATATCTGCACTGACATTAGAATGTAAGCCGTGAGTTAGAATGACAAGGTGTATCGGTTTAGTAGTATCAGGGACCGGAAGATTCCATAAATCCATTGTATCCTGATCGGAAACAATTAAAGTCGAAGGATTTTCAAATAACCCTATCCTATCACTATTTATAACTTTATTTTCAGACATTCCGGCCTCATGAAGGATTTTCTTAGAAGTTCCCACTGTAATTTCAAAATCAATATCTATAGTGTTATTGAAAATAATTTGTGATACAATGTCAACCACCCAGCAGTACTTTTCTTTGAAAGTATGGCATGATAATTCAGCATAAAAAGATTGTCCTGGAAGCAATTGAGGCTCAAATACTGGTTGGTCTGCCGTTATAAAGCATTTCTTATTCGAATCGTAATCTTCTGGTTTACAATCCACATAAAGAACATACGGACCGGCAATATAGGCCGCTCTTAATGCAATCAGTTCTTTGTTTTTTATCTTTACCCAGAGATTCTTAGGCGGGTTAAGTATTGCTTCTTCCTGGTTAGTGGCAGGAGGGAAGTAATTAATTTTGAATCTTTGTAGCTGGCTAGCTTTCAAGGACTTAACTTGACGATAAAGTATTCGGTCCTCTTCTAGTTCTCCCATTATATCGTTAATTCTGGATTCTTCACTTCTTTCTAGTTATCGGTCTTAAAATATTACTGATTCGAATCTAATTATAAGGATAATTGACCCTTTGAACTGTCAAGATATAACTAGCATGTGAGGGTTTTTTTGGTGTAACCAAAATAGAGAAGCGACTCTTTTGAACCCAAAAAATGCGATACGAGAACAAAAGAGCAAAAGAACCATTAGCACTAGAAGCTTGCTTTAGTGTTTGTATTGCCAGCTACTTGTATCAATCGATAAGAGGTAAGTATGCCATGCTAGATCCAAGTACTCAGAGATCTGATTTGCAATTGGAAGCTGAAGGGCATGCTGAAGGGCATGCTGAGCAGACAGAAGCTCAAACAGAAAGACCGGTACAAGATCAAACTGTTAACGACCTTCATCCTATAGAATTGACGGCACATGCATTATTGAATGGACCTTTAGAAAACCTTCATGAGAACTTTGAACTGCTTACTCAATCCCAATACATTCTTTTAACTAGATTAAAGTTAATTGAGAATCGGTTAACGAGTTTCGAAAAAGCGTTTTGTGAAGAAGGTCTGTTTGTTAGCGATCGGGATGTTCAAAATTCTTTTAGTAGAATAAAAGAATTAAGGAAACTGCTTTTGAAATCATTGAAGACACTATCAAAAATAAGCGACCGAGTAAATGACATGTCTACTAAATTAGAGCTTGATGAAGATTTAGTTTGAAAAAAATCTACATTTAAATAACTTAATGACTTTGGTCTTGAGAGGGACCATCCATAGTATTGTGTACATAGAGAATCTAAAAGAAGTTGAGTAATCTGAATGGATAGCCCATACCTTTTAATCCGAAAACTGAAAGTAATAGACTGTAGAAGATAAAAATTAGAAGTGATATAATCACTACTGCAATCAATTGAACTTGAGGAGACTTAATTTTAGGAATGTGTTTGATTAAAATGATACTGGAAGCACTCAAGATACCGTAAACAAATGATAATATTTGAGTCTCGACTCCCAATTGATTTTGTTGGCCAGGAACGAAGTAGTCCACTCTACCATTAGCATGTTCTCTGACATAGGGAACACCACGGATTTGCACAAACATATAACCAGAGATTAAAAGTAATACACCAACTAAAATAATACTACTCCATAATGGACGAGAAGTAGCAATGTTATAGGCTTCTTTTCTATATCTTCTAATCAAAAGGGCAAAAGTGAAAGCAAATACTGCATTGATAGCGATTCTTGAATAATCAGGAGGAATGTAAATATTGAATTGAAGACCAGTAACCGATTTTAAGTAACTAGCAAGTAATTCTCTATGAACACCTTGATAGAATTGATATTCATCAAATTCTTTAATATAATCATTGGCTTTGATACTTGAGGAAGGTGGGAAGTGGTACACTTTTGGAATGTTATTCAATTGGAGAAGTTGAAATAATTGACGAGACTCAGCAAATTCTGAATGTAAGAAATAAACATTCTTTTTAGGTGAATCCTCATCATTTAATTCTTCTTCACCTAATCCATTTGGATGATCTTGGAACCATGAATTGGCAACAATATTAAAATCGGGATGGAATTCGTTACAGAGAACACAATTGATTTGTGGAACAGCCGATGATAATAAAAGTACCAAATGGTAATCCCTTTCTCCACTTAAAATTTTTTGAAAGTTCTGATCATTCACTGGAATAACTTTGGTTTTACCTTGATTGTGAGTTAAAGTCAACAATTGTTCATTGGTTAAGGCTGCAACAGCAATTTGCAATATTGCCATTAAGGCAGCAACGAGCCTTAAGTAACTCCTCATCTTCAATTGTAAAAGGCAATGATTGATCTACGGTAAGTCCTTTGATTAAAAGCTTCAGTTTTTTAAAGGTTCTTTTTTTTTCAAGAGAAAACACGTCAACGGTTGACTTTCGAGGGTAGAGTCACACGTGATATCCGGTCTTTTTTGCAAGCTCTATACATATCTTGATAAGCACTATTTTAATATTAGCAGACGTTTAATCCTAGCCATGACAGATTGGTTGTATATTAGGTGCTTGGTATACTTAACAAAGGGTAATTGTAAATGAATACAAGCTTTTAGCTGTTTTTTCTGTTTTTTTCTGTTTTTTTCCTTTTTTTGTAATTATTTAGTGAATCATGGTAAGGTTTTGCGGTAGAAGAACTAGTAACTACATTTCATAAAGAAAATCGTAACTTTTATTAGAATCGTTAATCATGAGAGTCATAGGGATTACCCCAAGCTGAACTGCTTATCACAGCCCACATCAACAATGCAAGTTCCAAGACCTGCTTCGAATCTTTCAACCAATAAAATATATACACCAGGAAAGTCAGTTTTGCAATCGATGTGAATACCATAAACAGAGTCATTCCACTGTTCGTTTATTTGAATTGGTTCTTCTGTTTGAGCATTGAAAACTGAGCCTCTCATAGCCGGTCTATAGTCACTGATAGACTCGATACTCGAAGTATTATTTGAATGTTTAAGATGGATTGAAAAATTACAATTTGAACCATCAGTTTTGAAATAGATTTTCATTCGATTATTGTGATCCCAATCAAATTTAGTGCTGTTTAAGAATAGACCCAATCGATTTGAAAATTTAGTGATTTTGACATTATCTAAAGACGTATCATGAAGGATTGAAAGGGTATAAGGAGATTCCGGGCCAATATTGTAAGATGATAGAATAAGTTTATAGGAACCAGGCTTCAAATTCTTGATATCGTGAAAATGAGAGGTTGAAGTATAGCTTTCATTAAAAATCAATTTTGATTTATCAAAATTTCTCAAAGGAACATTTTTATCATCAGAATAGAATAAATGGAAATTTATATCCCTTTGATTTGATTCACTGAACAATAATATTAGCATGTTTGTTGTATCCTGTTTGATTTCCAATTCATACTGCGGGTTGCTGAGAAACGTTGATAGTGACCAATTCCCACCATCGTTCAAAAAGTTCCATTCGTCATTGATCAAAGGTAACACTTGATTGTATTTGAAAGGAGACTTGGCTAATTTAAACTCTTCTGAGATATTATTGAATAGAGATAATGTGAAAGAATTTAATGGAGGTCCCGAAACAACAATTGTATAAAACTCCTTCGGTTTTAATTTGAACTTGAGTAATATTATTCTAGTATTATTTATTTCACAATTTTTCAATAATAAATATTGGTTGGGAAGCATTACTTTCTCTCCGTGTTCAGTTTTAAAAATTGACAAATTGATATGGGTGGTTGAATTAACATGTTGAATATGAGATTCTAACATCAACCAGATTTCTTCTTCGTCCGCAGTAGGATTGTAGAGGTAAAACTGTGGTTTTTTATACCAATGAACGGTATCCTGATCAATCTTATTAGAAACAAAATTGTAATTTGAATGAAATTTGAATAATTTTTCTGGATTCCAGTTGATATATAAATAACTAATGAACCTTAAATCGAATTTTTGCAATTTAATCATTCTATCGATTTTATTTTCATTTGAAATCCAAGGGTTTTTCAAAGTTATTGAATCTTCATCGTACAGATATATGACATAATCATGGTAAGAAATTAATTTCAATCTTGAAATACAATCATCATTCAATCCACTGGTACCCACACCAAGCGTAATCAAGCCACTTTGATGAAATCTCCAAAGTTGATCAAAGTTATTTGGTAATATACCATTTTTCATTCTTATAATTTCCGGTAACCAGCCAATAAGCATATAAGTATCGATGGACATATTTGAACCTTTGAAATTATAACCATTGCCCATTACTTTCAAAAAAGCTTTTTCGATCAAAGCCGGCCATAACAAATCATTTTTATCAAAAGATTTAATGAATAAATTTCGATGAGGATTATCTATTACTATAGGAAACTTATTATCAATTCGAACTAGTCGCTTACAGCCATTAAAATTGAATGTTACCAAATAGTTTTCATTGGGCTTATGTGGAGTAACTAATTCCAATAAGCGTTGAAACTGGTTAATCTCAATTATCGATAACATTGCCGAAACAAATGAACAATTAGTTAATAAATCTTGATACAAGCTATCCAAATGATCAGTCCCCCAATTTACCAAATCAATCGGCTTATAGCTCACACTAAAATGCGAAGGTAGTTCCAAATCATCATACTTAGCTGCATATAATTCTCTAGTATGGAACTTATGGTCTATTATAGGGTAATAAAAATTTGAATCAATTTTAGAGCTGATCCAGCAAATCTTATCATTTGGAGATAGGAAACTTGCATTTCCGTTCTTACTTATCACTTCGTACAATTCTAAACATAACTTGGATAAAAACCTGATACTGTCACCATCTGATGACAGTTTGGAAAGATGATTGAGTAACTTGATCACTGATAAGCAAGTCTTCTTAGATTGTGGTATATCATTAAGGACATTCTGGAAATAGCAACACTCAATCAAGCTGTAACATTCATCCAACTTGACATTGGATTCCATAATAGTTTTTGCCGTCTTTACAGATCAATTGAGCAAAGAATAAGAAAGAACAACTATATAGAAGCAAAAAAAAAAAAAAAAAAATACATCACCAGACGCGAAACATGGAGTGATGAATTATTCGTCTTTCCTACGCAAGCAACAGATCTTGAACACACTCTGATAAGAATCACCCCAGGAAATGAGTTCAGGTCTTCGTAAGAGGATTGGAAAAGAACAGCCCTCGGATAAGGAAAGAGAGCAGGAGAAGACCAAGCCGACAGGCAAGCTACAATGGATGAATAAACGATTAAGTTTAATTCAATTGATAATTATAATATTCCCCATACGACTTTTCAATGCGTTAACTTTGAAGACGTATTTCCAACCAGACGAGTATTACCAATGTCTCGAAGTGGCACACAGACTAGTATTTGGGACAGGGTATATTACGTGGGAATGGAGAGAGGAGCTTAGATCTGGGCTTCATCCATTGATCTATGCCATTGGGTATCAAATTACCAAATATTTGCCTGAGAAATGGGAAAGTGACTTGGTGGTTATAACACCCAAGGTGATGGGGGCAATAATAGCCACTATATCAGAAGTTGGACAATACAAGTTTGTGCTCAATTATACTGAGAATAACTACTATATGGGACAATTAGTGATGTGGTTATCGATAATGAACCCATTTAATATGTATTTTATAACCCGGTCATTTTCCAATGGATTTGAAATGTGTTTGATTAGTTTGGGATTAAGTTTTTGGCCATGGAATTATCGACTTGATTACCGAAGATTGTCAATATCATGTTTTATTGGATTTATGAGTATTTTGATTAGACCAACCAATGGGATAATCTGGGGGTTCTTAGGAGTTGAGTTTTTAATGAGGAAATATCCCGTGGAACCATTTTCGAAGCTAATTAAGTTGGTGGGGGTTCTTATAATTGAATTTGGTTTTGTTTTGGGAATTAATATTGGTATTGATTATTATTTTTATAAAGTTATCACCATTCCAATCTATAATTTTTTTGAGTTTAATGTGATTAAGAATTTATCAATATTCTATGGGGTAGCACCATGGCATTTCCATATATTTCAAAGTATTCCAATACTATTAATGACTTATTTACCATTTTTCCTTCATTCGTTTACATTGAAAAGATACCGGAACCTACATCAATTAGTCTTAATCGTTGTAATTGGGTTTCTGATGATATCCCATAAAGAGTTCCGCTTCTTATACCCAATTCAACCAATACTCATATTATTAGTTGCCGGTTCAATTAATCAATTGCAAAATATCAAGATTTTAGTATACGGAATTATACTAATTAATATTTTAATTGGAATATTTTTCACTCAAATACACGAACGAGGAGTGATTGACGTTGTTAATTTAATAAAAGAAGATTCTAGCATTAAATCAGTTGGGATTTTAACTCCATGCCATTCTACACCATGGCAAAGTCATTTACATCGAAAAGACCTCGAATTCAATCAAAAGACAATTTGGAGTTTAACTTGTGAACCACCATTACATTTAACCAAGGGTAATTTGGAAACCATATTAAACTATCGAGATGAATCCGATCAATTTTATGATAATCCGATTGGTTTTATTGAATCGAAATTGCCCCAAATTTCGGAGCCAAAAGCGGACTCGATGCAAAAATCCCCAGGAAACAAACAAGATCGAATTTCTGGAGAAATCGAAACTGCACAAACAACGGACTCGAGCTTAAGCCCGAAGCAATTTCTCCGGGACAATCAAGATTCACGGAGTCGTAATAGATTCGGCGCCGAGATGCCAAACCCAACACTAGACTTCGACCTTCAACAGTCCGAGAATCAACAGTCCGAGCCTCAACAGAAGACCAATTTCCAATGGCCTCAAAGACTAATCATTTTTGCACCTTTGGAATCTTTCATGGACGAAATTCTCGCGGGTCATTATACAAAGTGCCATCGTTTATTCAACCTGTATTTCCACTGGGACAATCGAAGAAACGGTGACATAATAGTCTATTGCAAGAACGAATAAGAAAGAAAGAGAGAAAATAAAATAGTAGACCCGGGAATTATAATGATACAAAACCTATAAACTCCGAATAGTCACAATTACATTTCATTTTTATTCACCATTACATTATGTTTTATTCACAATTACATAGACAAATACAAGTACACGTACCATTACCTTTCCAGTCTCAAACAGGCTTTACGTCATTTCATTGAGACACATGGAGCTAGGAGCTTTTGTAATAGGTGTTAAGACCCCCGGATATACTAGGAAGGTAATAATCCGAATCTCGTTTATTGAAGTCCACCTCTACTGTGCTCAGTATCTCAGTATCTCAGTACAACAGCCCAGTACAACAGCCCAGTACAACAGCCCAGTACAACAGCCCAGTACGACAGCCCAGTACGACAGCCCAGTACAGCAGCAGTAACAGCTGACTCGTACAATCAGACCAGGCCATCTCACAATACAAGTCTGAGCACCTGATACCAAGGTCGCATTCTTTGAGCAGATGACTTTTTTTTGGTGGGCTTTTTTTTTGTTTTGTTAGCGAGTTTCCTTTTTTTTCGCATTGTTTGGGACGGTTTGCGGTTGTTCCATCACAAGGTGCAAAAAATGCTAAATTAGTTTTTCAGATCGGAAATTCTGCTTCGCTATACTGATTAGGATTGCCTTGGGTATAAATAACCAGGAAATTCTCCATTTGAATGGGATTTAGTTATTTTATTTCCCATCATTAAATACTTTAAATACTTATTATACTAATAAAAAATGTCTGTTGAAATTCCAAAAACTCAAAAAGCTGTTATTTTTGAAACTAATGGTGGTCCATTAGAATATAAAACCATTGATGTTCCAACTCCAAAAGATAACGAAATTTTAATTAACATCAAATACTCAGGTGTATGTCATACCGATTTACATGCTTGGAAAGGTGATTGGCCTTTAGATACCAAATTACCTTTAGTTGGTGGTCATGAAGGTGCTGGTGTTGTTGTTGGTATGGGTAAAAATGTTAGAGGATGGAAAGTTGGTGATTTAGCTGGGGTTAAATGGTTAAATGGTTCATGTCTTTCTTGTGAATTCTGTCAACATTCTGATGAATCTAACTGTCCCGAAGCTGATTTATCTGGTTACACCCATGATGGTTCTTTCCAAGAATATTGTACTGCTGATGCTATTCAAGCTGCCAGAGTTCCTCAAGGTGCTGATTTAGCTCAAGTTGCTCCAATCTTATGTGCTGGGATTACTGTTTATAAAGCCTTGAAAACTGCCAATGTTTCTCCAGGTCAATGGGTTTGTATTTCTGGTGCTGCCGGTGGTTTAGGTTCTTTAGCTGTTCAATATGCTAAAGCCATGGGTTTAAGAGTTGTTGGTATTGATGGTGGTGAAGGTAAAGAGGATTTTGCTAGACAAATGGGCTGTGAAGCCTTTGTTGATTTCACCCAATCAAAAGATATTGTTGCTGATGTTAAAAAGGCTACCGATGGTGGTCCTCATGGTGTTATTAACGTTTCTGTTTCTGAACGTGCCATTTCTCAATCAGTTGATTATGTTAGACCAACCGGTACCGTTGTTTTAGTTGGTTTACCAGCTGGTGCTCAAGTTAAAACTCCAGTCTTTGATGCCGTTGTCAAATCTGTTTCTATTAGAGGTTCTTACGTTGGTAATAGAGCTGATTCTGCCGAAGCCATTGATTTCTTCTCTAGAGGTTTGGTTAGTTGTCCAATTAAAATCGTTGGTCTTTCCGAATTACCACACATTTATAAATTAATGGAACAAGGTAAAATCTTGGGTAGATACGTTGTTGATACTACTAAATAATCTTACATATTTCACTTTTATAAACTTTTTTATTTTAATCCTCTTTTTCTTATGAGTCATGTTTTATAGTTGAATTTAATTTTTCATACTTTTGTTAATTATCATTTGTACTTTTGTTCTTGGTTGTCTCTAAGAATTGATTGGCATCGTTGAGTTTCTCTGCATCTTCCTTAACCTTATCCATCCATCTTTTTATCAATGTTTCATTTTCGTTCTTCAATTGTTTTATTTGATCGTTTAATACGTTATTTTGAATTTGATTTATTAAATTTTCATCATTGATTATCTCAATTGTTTTATTCTTTTCTTTAATCTCCTCTTGTAAATTATTGATCTTTTGAGTCAAATTACTAATCTTTGATTCTAATTGTTCATTTACCCTATTCATTTTCTTCTCCTTTATTTCATATTTTTCGATATTTATTGTAGATTGGTTCAAGCTGCTGATCACTGATTCATTCTCCAACTTTAGCAATTCAATTTGTTCGTTCAATTGATTATTTATATTTTGTCTAGTTTCATCTTCAATCCCAGTTAACGATGGTGATGGTGAGTTAGATCTTATTTTCTCTTGATTATTACAAACTTGACTTAATTTGGCAAACGCTTTGAAATAGTGGGAATCCTTCTTTTCATATACATCTCTTATATCAAGTTTCCGTAGTATATCTTCACTCCATATTGGTTCAGCCATTTTCAATGATAATTAGTTGCTTATCGGAAAATCTGCTCACACGGGATTTAGCTTCTACTTAAAAATCCATACCCACGCGATTCTCAAACCCTAACAAAGGGATATTTTCACGTATAGATAAACCAGTTATAAATAAAACTTGTTATAAACAAACCATAAAAGCTAATACAAATTTCCATATATCATATGTTCTGAAAGGAATGTCAAATCAAGATTTGGATAGTAAGTGGTATACACTAGCCAGATATAATCCGATTAAGAATATGGATCAAATAACTGAAAATAATGAAGCTAATGGAATAGATTCTGAATCAATATCCGATAAAACACCGGCATCGATAAAAGAAACCAATAACCAAAGTATCAATTGGTGGTACTGGGCCACCAGTAATAAAAATGAAGAAGAAAGCAAAGATAAGGATCCACAAGAACAACATATGGGACAAGCAACCATTGAAGAGTCAAGTACTGAAGTTACTGCTGATAATTGGAATTCATGGGTTAGTCCTTATAAAATCATGGGATACTTATACAAGCCTACTGAAGAACAGCAAGAAGAAGAACAAACGCCATTACTTGGGATATTTCGACTGGCTGTTGACGATAAGAAAGAGCAAACCTGGTGGTCATGGATGTGGGGGCAAAATCAACCAGAAGGAGAAGAAGAAGAAGAAGAAGAAGGAGAAGATGAGAATAACGCGGAGCTATTTCGAAGGGCCAAAGCAAGTATTGAAAATAGTAAGAATTCATCTCATTATGCAATTAAGAATATCAATAAAGATTTTGAATTATCGGTTAGTAATACCGAAACCGAGATGCAACCGGTTAAGTTTCGAACGAAAAAGAGACCAATCACCCCAAATGAATTACAAGAGAATGTTATCAAGAGTGAAGATGGCCCAACTAGTAGTGGGAATGAGGTGATACCCAAATTCGAAGAGAATTTCCGGCAAATAACTTGGAGGACACAACTTCGCTTACTTGGAGAGCATTTGATTTATCGCGAGCGGTCATCGGAAAGACATTTGTACCAGTGTGACCAGAGTAAGATGAAGCCCATAAAAAAAGTTGTTATAATTGGGGTGCATAGTTTTTTACCGATCAAGATGGTACGAACGATGATTGGCGAAAGCACCGGGAATTCCAATACGTACGTGAAACAAGCCAGAGAAGCGGTTAGGCAGTGGATGGAGGAGCACGACGAGGAGAGCGATATCGTGACCATTGCATTAGAAGGAGAAGGGTTGATTGAAGAACGGGTGGAGGAGAGTTTCAAGCTCTTAAAGAATTGGCGGAAAACGATTGAAGCGAGTGATTTATTAATAGTGGTTGGGCATTTACAAGGAAGTTTAATTGGAATACGATTATTAGAGAATATCCTCGACTCGTATAGGATGAAAAAGGAGGCAAAAGTTGGAATGATGAGCATGAATGGGGTGAATTGTGGACCATTTGCCAATCTCAGTAACAAGTTGGTGATCCGAGCATACACCAGCGAGGAAAATGACATTATAAATGAACTCTTTGAAATGAGTAAGAAAGCAAGTAAACTTGGTGCTCGAATTGAATTGAGTATGGCCAAATTAATTCATCACAATGTCAAGATCGTATTCAGTGGTAAGATGAACGAGATGTTTATTCCAATGTATTCCAGTTTAAACATGAATATTGAACATATGAATATTTATCGAATGATGTATTTCAATGGAGAAACACCACAATTCATTAAACAACTAATGAAAATCATTCTCCTAGTTAAGAACTACGGCTACAGCGACCACAATTTAATCAAAGACTTGAGTGAAAAATTTCGCAGCAACAGTACCGGAGAAATATTCAATCAACCAGTAATTTATCAAGAATCAATCAAATTCATCTTACAAACTACCAACTACCAACAAGCCAAACCTTTGACCAAACCCTCGAATACATTAGAAAGCATACACAAGAATCTGGTCGGGTCCGGCGTTAGCAAAGTTAGCTCGTTATCCATTTATAATCCCGAAATGAATTCCCCAATTAATGATTCCAGTATAAATAGCGGTGCGGCTCAAACTTCCAATGAAATAAATCTATACCATCTTCCATGGAATGTCCGGGGGTTAATCCAAGATCTACTAAGAATCAAAAACATCAACGGGGCCGAACGCATCACCGAGTTGATCAACAGCTACCGCGGGTGGGAACCCACCGCCAAACACATGAAGGAGTTGAAACTAGTCTTTGAAGTCTTCGACACCGAACTCGATGAGTTGGTTATGTAAAACCGCCGGTCCGGTCTCCTGAGCCTTTCCCGGTCACGTGCAGGCACACCAAATTAACCTTTGCATCTGCATATGACAACGCGGACTTGTCACTGGGATTTTGTTACTGGAAAGCCAATCATTCCGGGTCGATTCAAGATGATGGTGATGATGTTCAAGACATGAGAAAGTATTAGCGACGCTAATCATCACCTGGTTGCAAACACTGGATGGGTGGCTAATGACTCCAAAAGGGTTTAAGATTCGGCATTTTGGTAATACGAGAGATTAGTTTTGGCTGTACAAAAAGGCAATTCGAACGATCTGTAAATAGTTATCACCTTGACCCGATTAGCCTCATGTACACCTCGTAAACCACGGCACAATTTCACTCTACTCTGTTTCTCTGTCTACTCTACTGTACTCTCTACTGTGCTCTCTACTGTACTCTGTCTAGTATCTAGTGTACTTATAGTGTACTTATAGTGTCTTATAGTGGACTTGTGTACTTGTGTACTTGTGTACTTGTGTACTTATGGTGTACTACGCCATGCTGTACTGACTCATCCCAACGTACTCTCTACACCATGCTAGATACCGTGGAACCATCTTCACCTTAACACCATGCATGGGATTAAAAATAAAACAGCAGCTTAACAACGAACCGAAACAAAAGAAAATTTTGAACAGGCGAACGAAAAGCCTAACAAAAAAGAGCGAAAGCCTAACAAAACGAAAAAAAAAGAGGAAAAAAAAAGAGGAAAAAAAAAAAAAAAAAAAAAAAAAAAAAAAAAAAAAAAAAAAAGGCCAAAAAAAAGAACAAAAAAAAGAACAAAAAGGCAGCCATCCCCTGTTCCGTTCAACTTAATTCCTTATTCATCTCTATCCAAGATTAAAGACTTTTTTAGCTAGAGATGTCCCTGGAGGAAGCTGGTTCAACCAAGAGAACCAGAGCATCTGGAGAGGTATTGGAATACCTTATCCGAGAGTTTCATCAGAATCAAAATCCATCACCAGAAGTCAGAAAAGAGATCAGTGAACGAACGAATATGAGTGAAAAAGCAGTTAGGATCTGGTTTCAAAATAGAAGAGCCAAGGCCAGAAAAGTTGAGAAGTATGAACGGAACAGTTCAATGTCCGGGCCGTCAAGTAAAAAAATCGGAGCCATTAAGAATAATGGCAGTATCCATAGTTCAAGATCCAATAGCTTAAGTTTACAAGATATCCAACTGCAAATGAGTCCAAATAATTTATATTTGAATCAATATATTAACCAATTACCAATTGAAATTAATGAAAAATATTGTTTTATTGATATTCAATCATTATCGGTAGGATCATGGCAAAGAATTAAAACCGGATACCACGAAGAAAACATTTTGAAAAACAATTTGATCAACTTATCACCATTTACCCTCAATAATATCATGAATAACGTTGACTTGTTGGTTATACTACTGAAAAAAAATTTGGAAATTAATTATTTTTTCAGTGCGATTTCAAATAATTCCAAAATTTTATTTCGAATTTTTTATCCAATTGATTCAATTTTAACTTGTTCTTTATTAGATAATAACTTGGATAAAGAAAATAATGAATTGAGATTAAGTTTAAGTCATAGTCCTAAGTTTTCGGTTTATTTTTTCAATGGAGTTAATTCAAATTCAAATCAATGGTCGCTTTGTGAAGATTTTAGTGAAAATCAACAAGTTAGTGCTGCTCACTCTTTTGATGCTGAACAAAATAATATTATCCCCCATGTTTTGGTTGGAGTGAAGAATTCTTTGGAATATTTAAATAATTTTATTTTAGAAAATAATCACTCCCAACATCATCCATTATCAAAAATCACTACTGGTAGTAATTACCCAATTGATGGAGAATCTCTTAATTATAGATTGAAAGGTTTATCTCCTTTAGGAGATTTTGATTCTGATAATTCTCCAAATTCAATTACTTCAAATAATAGTCATCAAATTAATCATGAAACTTCCACAATTAGTAACCGTAATTCAAGAAGCTTTATTCCAACTTCTTATCATCAAAATCATGATGATAATTTTAATTCTAATTCAAACATAATTTCTAATTCTAATTCTATTTCTAATTTTACTTCTTTAAAACATTCAAATAAGAAAACTCCTTCTACTGCTCCAACTTCAACTTCAATTAATAATCTTGATTCAAATTATGATGATATTTTTAATTCAAATACTCCAGATTTTTTTTCAACAGTTCAAACTCCAACTTCTACCATCATGAATTATACTAAAACTTTCCCAAATAATCCTCCTTCTTCCACTACTGGTAGTACCTCCGGATTAATCGACTCAAACTTAATTAATTCTCCTTCAACAAATATTAATTCTTACACTCATATTAATGACCCTCCAAATGATCAATTATTAGAAAATGATAATAACAATAATTTCTCCCTAAATGATCAATTACACCATACCGCTTTTGATTTATCTCTACATAATAATGATTTAGATAATTCAAATCAAAATCAAAACTTTAATTTGGACGGGTTTGGTATAACTAGTCCTGGCTCAAATAATGATGCTAGCACTAATGGTAATACTCAAGTTGACAGTTTTATTGATTTTAATTCTCATTACCAATAATCTTTTCTTGGAAGGCCTTATGTTTAATGAATGTTTGTTTTCTCTTCAACACTTTACTTCTTCAATATTGTTCAACCATGTTCTTTGTCTTTATTTCTTGCATTCTTTTCTCCTACCTTGTGTATCTGTCCATCCTTTTTTTTTAAAAAAAGAATTCTTTCTATAGAAATGAAATATTTATTCGTAAATCCCCCTGGAATTGCATTGTTCCATTCGCAATTTCATCTTGCTTAAACTTACCCTATAAAGTCCAACTATTGTTTCCAGTATATCACCACTTTATCGTATTTGCAGCCTTTGGAAGACGATCACGTGAACATTTTTCTTCCATTATTGTGGTGGACACGTCCCGAGTATGGGAAGTGAAAAAAGAAAGTAAAGTCGTACTACTATCCATTGACTTTTACTCTTGGACTCCCATAATGAAACCATTTGGCATACGGTACTTCTCGTCTACGGTTCGGCATTTGAACCGTCCGGATCTCATGCTGATACTACCCGGCAAAAGAGCAATGCAAAGACTACTCTTTGATAATGATAGTCGATTGAGATATAATAAAACGATTGAAATTTTAAAATCGATTTATACTAATATTGATGCTCCAAATCAAATAAGTCTACCTTCATATACGAAATCGAAGGATTTAATGCTATGTAAAACGTTACTATCAAGCATAAGAAAAATCACCAACTCAATTAATAAAAATTTGGTTGATATTGAAAATGAATTAATTGAACAGGCTGCAGAATTGGGTGATAATGATGCAATCACTTTACTTGCATTTAAAACTATCAAAGACCCCGAGAGCTCTAAGGAAGATTACAAAACCGCTAATAGCCTCATCAAAGACTTAACCGACTTAAAGCACCCTTTGGTTTTCAAATTAGCGGGTGATTTGGCATTTGAAAAAAATTACTTTGATCAAGCTGCCCAATACTGGTTAGATTTCTTAAATTTAGAGTCCGATACCATTTTGGCGAGTCACGTATACTCCAATTTGGGTATTTATTACTATAGTTATCATAAACCTAAACCAAATTTACACATGGCTAAAAATTATTTAGAAAAAAGTATTAAATTTGGTGAATTAGATTCAAACATTATTAGGTCTCATTTTTATTTAGGTCAACTTTATTCAATAACAGATCCTTTGTTAGCTCGTTATCATTTGGAAATATCTGCTTCAAAAGGACTAACTGAAAGTTTCCAAACTTTAGGATTCTTAGAATTAAATGTATTTCAAAATTATTCGAAAAGTCTTGAATGGTTCAGATTAGGAGTGGAAGCTAATAATGACATCACTTGTTTAATTGGTCAATTTGATTGTCATTTCAAATTAAAAAACTATAAAAAGGCTTTTGAAATATTAACTAATTTAAATGATACTTTAATTAAAATTAATAATCAAAAAAATGTTCCTGACAAATATAAAGATTTAATAACATCTAGTAAATTACTACTTTCTAAATTCTTCAATACTAGAAGTGATGATATTAAATTAGTTTCTCAAAATTTTGCATAATCTTGTATATATTAAAAAGTCATTAATCTATAAAATTGATGAACGATCTTGTTCATCTCCAAAGTTCAATTCAGATGTGTATCGTTCTCTTAATGTCATTGGTGGTTGACTATTTGATCTAACCGACATTCTAGTGATTGATCGATTACTTGTATTATTACTATCATCAATCATGCTAATATCTTTAACTTCATCATCAATCTCACTAAACCATGGATGATCACAAGTGTTCTGAATATCAAACCTGTCATTTGGATCAACAACTAACAAATTCGATATTAAATCAAGCACCAGATCATTTATTTCATCCCAATAAGGAGAATAAAATGCATAAGTTCCATTCAAGATTTGTTCTCTCATATTTGGAGGTCCTAATTCATCGCTGAATGGAGGAAATCCACATAAACAGACATAAAGTAAAACTCCACTTGACCATAAATCAACTTTGGTCGAGTAATTACGATTATTTTTTAATATTTCGGGTGCAACATAAGCAGGCGTACCACATAATGTATTTGTAAATTTCAACTCTCCGATAAATTTGGCCAATCCAAAATCTGCTATTTTCACCTTGACATCATATTCATCTTCATCCCATGGTCCTAACGATTTTTGATCGGTTGAGGTTTTGGGTATAACATCCAATAAAATATTCTCTGGCTTTATATCTCTATGAATAATATTTTTTTGATGCAAATAATGTAAACCTTCTAATAGCTGTTTAAATATTGCCTTTGTTTCATTTTGTCTTAATTTCAGCTTATTTATAATTCTTTGAAACAACTCTCCATTATTCATTTTTTCTAATACCAAATAAGTCGTTGAAGCATATTGATTAATAGGTTCAACATAATGAGAAATAAACCTCACTATATTTGGATGATCAATTGATAACAATAAATTCATTTCTTGTCTCAATTTAGCATCTTCATTTTCATTATTATTTGAACTTGATTTATTTGGATGGAAAATTTTGACCGCTACTATATCACCAGTGGTTCGATCTCTTGCTTCTCTTACAATTGCATAATGGCCAGATCCTAATTGATTACCCATTATGTAATCGTCGAAAAATGATTTCTTTTGAAATGACTTATCATTCTTAATATCAATTGCGTATCTGAATATGTATGTACCACCAGTTTTGGCAAATGATATCTTATCCCCACTTCTCAATAATGCATTAGAACCCTTTCCTAGCAATTCATTATTCACGTAAGTACCGTTGGAACTCATGTCTGTAATTAGTAAATACTCCAGAGGGTTCGTGGTGAGCGAAAATTGACAATGCTTGGACGAAACATCGCTTCCAGTTAATTTAATATCACATGAGCTACTTCTTCCAATAAGAACTCCTCCCGATTTCTTTGGTATGGTTATATGAGGTGTGTTTGCCTCCACACTATATAGTTTCGCTATAGTTTGATAATGGAATACTTGTCTCTTTGGAATAGAAGTAGTTGAAGTTTGATCTTCTGCTACTGTGAAAAGCTAAAAGAACGCGTTAGTTTCAAAATAAAGATTCTTATATATAAACACCGTTTCAAAGTAAGACATCTAACATACTCTTTTCCTCGATAACGACATGTCTAATCAAATGTTAAGTCAATCTGCCTTGTCTTTTAAGCTGAACTTATCTTTGAACCGTTTTTTCAATTTCTGATCGGTCAATTTTTTTGAGCTCAAGCGACGCGCACGCGTACTCATCTTGGATTGGTTACAATTACTGAAGACGACTATCAATGCAATATATAAAACTATACTATACGGTAAATCAAATCGTTGATCTCATGATCATTCAAATGTTGTAAATAATGGTCGAACTGAGATCTTAATTGAGGTACTTTATTCATGTTTTGCCTCAAGCTTTTAGCAACCGATGGATCAATGTTTTGTAAAAAGTCAATTGATTCCTTCAATCTCATGTAACTCTTATGAGATCTATTGGTATAAATAGTTTCATTAGTTTCGTAGAGAAGTAAATCATCCCGAAACTTATCAGAAATAAACTGGAAATCTGTTTTCAATTGTTCACTCCCCATTTTTGAAAATTGATTATTGGTGACAATATATTCATGTAAAATTGTACAAAGAATGGAAACAACTTTATTAGAGATTTGGTAATAATCTACGTCAGAAACGCTTTTTCTCAAGAAGTCCATGTAGTTTGGAATATTGGTGATTAAAGTGGATAATTGACCAGAAGGTTCTGCAGATGTTGTAGAGTCTGGAATGTTCCATTGAGTTGAATTAACATACGATTTCAAGGAGTTCTTTATTTCTCTTCTGAAAAACTCTTCATATTGTTGAATCTGTTTATTGATTAGATGGTCATTTTCTTCAATTGGAAAATCGAAAAGAGTTTTACCAACTTCATCGTGACTTATTTTTGCATAAGAATCCCAGAGTTGAACAAAGATTAGCTCCTCAGACCATTCGTCAAAAGAATCTCTGATAAATCTGAGTGAACAGAACAATCCGGTTAAAATTTTCAATCCATTGAGCCCATTAGTTAAAACATCTGTATTCCCAGTTTTGTCAGATTCTTTTAATCCACCAGGGATGAAGTTCAAAACTTTATTAGAATTGAAAGTGTCACTAAACTTTCTAAATTCTTTAATAATATGTTCAAAGTATAAGTCAATCAATTTTATTTGAATTCGTGAGACGTATCTTAATTGAAATTTGACAATGCTAAGTGTTTTATAATGATTAGTGAGATTATTGAAAAGTTTTACCAAATTGTATGACGAATAAGTAGGTTTTAAAGAGTGTTTTGAGGTATTAGATTCATCGCCATGATGATCGAAATCGATATCAAATGCATCCCTCAAGCCAATGATTTCACTATCAAATCTTTTCTTAGCCAAATCATATTCAAAATTAAGCCAATTTGTAACTGCCTCTTTCTCATTCTTGTCATGGATTAAAATGTCACCAGTCAATCCTAGCCATTTCTTGGAGGGGGCTTCATCAAATCCATCAATGTATGGATTATATTTATATTGATTTCTTAATCTTTGATCAAAGGAACTCAATTCAAAAATAAGATGGGCCAATAGTCTACCACTCTTCTCAAATATATCCGCCTGATCCTGACATTTAGAAATATTGTCATTCAATATTCTGACCATTTTAGATATCTTGTCTCTGACAGGTTTTAATGTGGTTGTTATAATCTCATAGGTTGACACTCTTCCATATTTCTCCAACATTCCTCCCAGGATCAATTCTATATATGAGATATCTTCAATGAGAAACTCTTCAAAAAAATTGAATGCCCATTCTGGTTTACTGAGTTTATTAGTTTCCTTATTTTTATTATCGAAATGGTAATTGAATCTGATTATAAAAGGCTGCAATAGCACCTCTAATGCCCACCATGAATCAGGATAAGTTGGTTTACCAACTATTATTTGCAAGTCAAGTAATTTTTGAAAAGAAGAAGTAATTTCTTTCAAGTCCCTATTTGGGATTGATTGACTTTTAGATTTGGGTGCTAACCAATGTACTTTGGTTAGTAATTTATTTAAATCATCAGCAAGTTTCAGTCTCCGTTCATCAACCTTATTCAGAAAGTCAAGGGATAATTTCTCGATGATCTCATCGTAATCAGAAGATAACTGATTTGCTTTCAATTCCTTTATATCCTGATTTATCTTTTCAAAATCATCCTGTTGGTTCGCATCGAGTGACTTAATTGCAGACTCTAAACCTCTTGCCTTTTCTAACAAGCCAACAGTCAATTCTTCTGTTTTCTTCCCTTCAAATAATACCTTCAAATCCTTCAAAACTTTGAGCTCCCCATGTTGCTCGATTAGACCATCGATTCTTTCGATCTTAACTTCAGTCAGACTCCCGCGATCATCTAATAACTCATTAATACTACTCACTATACTACCAACATAAACAGCGGTTTCTTCATCTATATCCTGCGGCTGTGGAGTGGCATTTCTATTCAGTAATCTTTGATCCACTGCCTTACCAATCTGACTTTTCTGTACTTCCAATTGGCTGATTTTAGAATCAATTGTATCCAAATCTTCCAACGAAGTGAAATTAATGTTCATATAATCAAGTGTATGCGCCATCAAGTGTTTCCCTTTACCAATAACCAACCTTCTCTAGCAAACACAAGTAGCCTAGTGTTCTAAGCGAAAGAAGTAGTGTGCATGAATCAACGATTTTTCATTTTTTGTCCACTTTTTTTCTCTCTTTTGATGATTTCGATTTACGTGAAAAAAAAAAAAACTACTAAACACGGTTTGCTGATTAAAGAACATCAAACTGTTGATTGAACAAGATGCAAGCTCCAGTTGTATATATGAATACCTCTACCGAGAGGCAAACTGGGCGTCAAGCGCAGATATCTAATATCACCGCAGCCAAAGCAGTTGCTGATATCATTAGAACATGTTTAGGACCAAAAGCTATGTTGAAGATGTTGTTAGATCCAATGGGTGGTATAGTATTAACTAATGACGGACACGCTATCTTGAGAGAGATTGATGTTTCACATCCAGCTGCCAAATCCATGATTGAATTGAGTAGAACTCAAGATGAAGAAGTCGGAGATGGGACTACAACCGTTATTATTTTAGCAGGGGAAATTTTAGCACAAACTTTCCCATATATTGAAAAAAATATACATCCAGTTATCATCATCCAAGCTTTGAAACAAGCTTTGAGTGATGCCTTAGAAATAATTCATCAAGTTTCAGTTAAAGTTGATCTTGAAAATGAAGAATCAATGATCAAATTAATTAAATCATCAATTGGTACTAAGTATATTAATAAGTGGTCACAAAAAATGTGTGAGTTATCATTAAAAGCCGTTAGAACTGTTATGATTGAGCAAGGCGATTATAAAGAAATCGATATAAAAAGATATGTCAGAATTGAAAAAATTCCAGGTGGAGAAATTACTGATAGTGAAGTTTTAGATGGTATTTTATTAAATAAAGATGTTACTCACCCAAAAATGAAAAGAAATATAGAAAATCCAAGAATCATATTATTAGATTGTCCTTTGGAATATAAAAAGGGAGAATCTCAAACTAATATTGAAATTACCAAAGAAGAAGATTGGAATAGAATTTTACAAATTGAAGAAGAACAAGTTAAACTTTTATGTGATCAATTATTAGAACTTAAACCAGATTTAGTTTTAACCGAAAAGGGAGTTAGTGATTTGGCTCAACATTATTTATTAAAAGGTGGCGTTACTGCATTAAGAAGAGTTAAAAAATCAGATAATAATAGAATTGCTCGTGCTACTGGTGCTACTATTGTAAATAGAGTCGAAGATTTGAAAGAATCCGACATTGGTACTAGATGTGGTGAGTTCAGAGTCGAATTGATCGGTGATGAATATTTCACTTATTTAGTCAAATGTAAAGACCCCCAAGCTTGTACTGTGGTCTTAAGAGGTCCTTCCAAAGATATCTTAAATGAAATTGAAAGAAACTTACACGATGCTATGGCAGTCACCAGAAATGTCATGTTTGAACCTTCATTATCCCCAGGAGGTGGTGCCACCGAAATGGCGGTTAGTGTTAAATTGGCTGAAAAGGCTAAAACCATCGAAGGTGTTGCTCAATGGCCTTACCAAGCTGTCGCCGATGCCTTTGAAGTAATCCCAAGAACTCTTATCCAAAACTGTGGTGGTAACCCCATTAAGGTCTTATCTCAACTTAGAGCAAAACACGCTAATGGCGAACACACTTTTGGTATCGATGGTGATTTAGGTAAAGTCGTCGACATGAACCAATACGGGGTCTGGGAACCAGAAGTCATCAAACAACAATCCATTAAAACCGGTATCGAAAGTGCCTGTCTCTTATTAAGAGTTGACGACATCGTCAGTGGTGTTCGTCAACAACAATAATCTCTCTCTCTCTCCATCTCCCTTCTTTCTATACATATATATAATTATATACCTACTATAATATCCCTTCATATCCTTCATTGTATACCGAAATATGCCATCGCCGTGCCCGAAAACACAAACTCCGTACACCCACACAGAATCGGCTCTTTGTTATTTTTGGTGTCAGTTTAGAGATGTTTAAGTTTGTTCCAAAAACGGCAGTAGCATCAGTGAAATCAAAACATCAAACTGGGCTGGTAGATTTGAAAAATCCAATTACTCGATTACTTTAACAGTGATAATCTATAACAAAAACACTAGGGGACACAAGAACAGCCTTTCATTTCAACCAGGATCAGCCTATTCGATTAAGCAATCTGAAACTCAGAAAGTTCAATCTCTGTCTTCGTGGAATTGACAAAAAATCTAATCGATATCGTCCAGTTTTAAGTTCAGCTAATCTTCATTCTGCTTCTTCTCCATCCACTTCAGAGGCACTCATCCAGGTATCTGCATTTATCTGAACAACAACTTCAAGTTCGTCCTGTTCAAGCTTTAAATATATATATATATATATTTAATTTTTTTTTTTTTTTTTTTTGGTTTTTCACTTTGTTAGTCTTGACAAGACAACAACAAAAGTTCAAAGTGAACAAACTCATATTGCATTAAAGTTTCTATTCTTGAATAGACCTTCGTGATCTTTTTTTTTTTCGTTTTTGTTATTCATTCCTTTTATTTTTTCGTTTGCCTTTGTCATCATCCCAAGGGCATCCGTTGTTGAAGAGGATTTTCCTTTAATATCCAAAACAAAACGAACAAATTGAAAAGATAAGGCCAATAAGGTTTGGTGACTTAGTATACTGTTTGAATAGCTGCATAATTGATGTCTTTACCCCCACTCCCATTCAAGGTAAAGACCGTCTACTCTTGGTCTGGTGAACAAGAAGAAGATTTGGGTTTTGTTGAAAATGAAATCGTCGATGTTTACTCCATAGTTGATGATAGTTGGTGGAAAGGAAAATTGAGAAGAAATAATGCAGAGGGTATATTCCCAAAGGACTTTGTTGAGATAATTGAAGATTCAATTCCTCAATCTTCTTCAAGTCGATCAATCTCTCAATTGAATTCTAAACAAAATACTCCAGTTAAGGACCAGGAACTTAGGTCAAGTAAAAATGGTACTCCCAATGGATTCTATAACAAGTCAAAGTTCCCAAATAAAAAAATCAATCCTCTTAATAATGTGGATTTGAATAATTCATATGAAGATTATGATTATAGTTATGATAACAGTTTTGATAATAGCTTTGGGCATATCAATAGATCTTCCAATGGTTATTCGCCTCAAAAATTAAGGGGTTCGAATAGTAATTTATCACCAAGAAAACAACAAATTAATACTCAAGATGATTTAATCGAAGTTCATACTCCAGCCCAGGCCCAAAAAGAGAAAGAAAAAGTTCAAATTAAAATGTTACAACAACAACAACAACAACTTCAACAGCAACTTCAGGAACAACAAAGACTCTTGAAAAAACAGCAGTATGATCAACAAATTCGTACCCGTCAACAGCAGGACAATTATCGTAACTCAATAGCAGTTACTCCTGATTATCACTATAATAACACTTATGCAAAACAAAAACCTAAACAAATGAAACAAAGACCAATTTCTCAATATCATCAATATGCTAATAACCCTTATGAATTTAATTCACCTGCTGGACTCATGCCACATTCTCCTCCTTATCAAGAAAAATCACACTCTTATACCGATGTTAATGAGTTAAGTCCTTCAAAAAGTCCTTCAAAGTATCAACCAGTTTTTCAAAATAATACAATTGAAAGTTTCTCTCCTGAAGCTTCTCATAATCAAAAACGTAGAAATGCTCAAAAATATTCCAATCATTACCAAAAATTCTATGATCCAATTTATGATACTGCTCCAGAAATCGTAGATGATGGTCTAGATGATCCAGAGTATGAAGATCTTTTACTCGCTAAACAAAGAATAGAATTAGAATATCAAAGAATTAAACAATTAGAGAAAAGAAAGAAAACTGCTTTAAAATCAACTCCTCCCCCTCCTCCAATTCCAAAATATTCAGACCCAATTTATGATCATTCAGGAGAATCCAGTTATGTAAGTGAAGATTTATTATCTTCGAAGAAGAATCAATCAAGAGAAAACTTAAGTAAAAAATTGACCAATTATGTCACTGATGAAGATACTTACGAAATTGACAATAATTTATATCGTGGTGCTTCTCCGCCCCCTCCACCTCCCCCAAAGCATGGTTATGGTATTAATGCTGGTAATGGATATGAGCCTATTGCTAACATCAATCAAAAGAGTCGTTCCAGAATGCCTTATGATCCGAATGATTTTGAAGTATCTCCTCTTAGACAACAGTATTCTGATGATTTATATGGTATCTCAGACATGAGCCCAGAAGATTTAAAACAATCGATCAAATCATTGCAAAGTGATGTTTTAAACCTTTCAGAATTAAGTGCAACTAGTGCAGGTTCTTTCATGAGACATAAACAAGATAAACAATTACAAAATGCTGATTATAAAATGCGTGGCTTATCCTTGAATGAAGAAGATGAAGAAGATAAAGACGATGAAGACGAAGCTAGAGATCAAATGCCAGATAGAGGCCTCATGGAATCAATGTTCGAAGATAAGAAAAAACCTAGTCTCTTTAAGAAATTCTTGAATAAGAGAAAAGGTGTAGATAACTATCTTGGAATGGACGATGAAATGGACTGGGCCACTTTGAAAACAGATTTAAATCGTATGAATTCTTTGAGTACACACGATAAGCAATTAAGAACTAGACGTATTGTCAGAGAAGAATCTTCAATTATCATCAAACCTTTGGACTATATCGGAGAAGCAAATGTCAATGAAACAACGGAACAAGTCGATGACGCTGACCAAGTTATTTCAGATTTTGAAAATGTCTCATTCAAGAAAGCTGATAAGTTCATTTCTGCATTTGATTCAAAAATTGATATCAATGAATTAATAACTGATATCAGTGTTAAATTTAATTCTTCAAAAGTTAATCAAATTAGATGCGTATTAATGCATTTATGTAAATTTCGTATCATTGAAGAACCAAATAAAATCATGCAAATCAAACCAAAATTGGCTGAAGTCTTATATAAAGGTGAAGCTTCCATTTATCAACTCAATTATCTTTTTAAGAAAATTTTAGATGCTTTGAGAATTCGTTCGGAACTTGTATTAGGTTTTTGGAAAAAACCAAATGAATACTATCATATTGAGCAGTACGTGATTAATCACTGTTGGTTATCTATCGCTGTTGAAGGTAGAATTTATATGATGGATTTATATTGTTTTAAAAATGGTTCAGTGTTCAACTTGAAAAACCCTAGTCCTAATTTCAATGAACACTATTTCTTGACAAAACCTATGTGTTTAGTATCCACTCATATACCTCCTAATATTGATTTACAGCACGTAATCCCACCTGTTGACCACAGTATTGCTTTCCATTTACCAAGACAGTACTCTGGATTCCATAGAAACAGATTACATATTAGAAACTTTAACACAGCATTAACTATGCTTAAAGATTTAGAAATTTTTGAATTCGAAATTGATATTCCAACTGACGTTGAATTATTCACTTTGGTTAAAACCGCTAAATTAACGACCAATGAATTAAGTTTATGTCAAGTTTTCTGGAAGAAGAATGATAGAATTGCCAAAATCAAAGCAGTTCTTCCTGAAAAAGAATCCATTGGGGTATTACAAGTTTTCGCTGGTCCTAAAGGCTTGCAAGAACATTTTGAAAATATTCATGAATTAGCAGTAGTTATTCCTTTATCTCATAATGGTACTTCAAAACCAGGTAAATTTGTTCCAAGGTTTCCAAGTAGCCAAAGTCAAAATAATGACTTGTATATCAAACAACCTCAAACTAATAAAATTGTTGCGAAAAATTCCTACAATTTTGAAGTCTTACAGCATCCATCAAAGGGCCTTAATAGTGGATCGGGCTTGATGAACCAAGATTTTAAACTTATCGTCAAATCTCCTTCTGGTAAGCATTATAGATTGGTCAAGGATGATCCATTGTCTTACGGTACTTATGAAGTCAACATCAAATGCCAGGAAGTTGGTACTTACACCGGTTTGGTGATTGGTGATAGTGGCAGTAGTTGGACCGTCTTTGCGCAATGGGAATGTGTTAGCTCTATATAATCGTGACAGGTAAATATACCTAGCTCTAGTCCTAGCCTTTGCATTTTATCTATTAACACCTTATACTTTTTTTTTTTATACTGATCCTTTATAAGTTTAGCTCAATACCAGCATGAACTTTCTGCATTTACGTTCAGTTTTCTGCACCGAACTATTAATCCATTCTTTTCGTTTTCAATGCTTTTTTTCATAGTTTCTTAATTCTTTTTAATAAACCGTTTGCTTTTAATAAAATGTAATTAGAGTAATTTTCAATTAGTGCAAAAGGAAAAAAAAAGTGAAATCAAAATGAAAAATAAAAAATGAAAGGTTCTGCGACAAGTTGAGCTCAAGCAGAATAATTAAAGCATCTGATAAAGCATAATCAACCAGTTCAAGTCTCCAAGATGTCATCAGCTCAAGTGGAGAGACAACCGGGGTCGATTTCCACCGGCACCCCGACTGCTATGGCCACGAAGCCGGATACTCCATTAAATGTCCAGAACTATTCTAAAGATAAGAAAGTTGGGGAGGGTACATACGCTGTTGTTTACTTGGGAGTACAAGTATCCACCAAGCGGAATATTGCTATTAAAGAAATAAAGACCGGGATTTTTAAGGATGGCCTTGATATGTCTGCTATTAGAGAAGTGAAATACTTGCAAGAGTTGAGACACCCGAATGTTATCGAACTAGTTGATGTTTTTCTGACCACTAATAACTTAAATTTGGTGTTGGAGTTCTTACCGTGTGATTTAGAAGTATTAATAAAGGATAAATCAGTTGTCTTCAAGACGTCAGACATTAAGTCTTGGATACTAATGACATTAAGAGGGTTACATCACTGCCACAGAAATTTTATATTACATCGAGATTTGAAACCAAATAATTTATTACTAGCTCCAGATGGAGAACTTAAAATAGCGGATTTTGGTTTAGCCAGGTCTTTAGGGAATGCCAACGAAGATTTAACGTCAAATGTGGTGACTAGATGGTATAGAGCACCAGAATTATTATTTGGTGCCAAACACTATACCGAAGCAGTTGACATTTGGTCGGTAGGTATAATATTTGCAGAGCTAATGCTAAGAACTCCTTACTTACCTGGTAAGGATGATGTGGATCAAATGGACGTAACGTTTAGGGCCTTGGGGACGCCGACTGAGCAAATCTGGCCAAATGTATCCAATTTACCTTTATACAATGCATTGAGAGTTTATCCACCTCCATCTAGACAAGAGCTTAGAAATAGATTTATTGCTGCTACTGATAAAGCTTTGGACTTTTTGATTCTCATGACACAGTTGGATCCAAGTAGAAGATGTAATTCAACTCAAGCATTACTACATGAATATTTCACTGAATCCCCAAGTCCAACCGAACCGATTGATTTACCAAAGAAAGGAGGTGGTACTAATGGCTCCAATAATAATGATAACGAAAATTCAATAAAGAGACGTAAATTATAGAGATTTACTTGAACTATGTCTATAGATGTATATATTATTCTAAAATTTAATCATGACAGACCGTGATAAATGTTCTTTACGTAATCAGCTATAGCCCATGATGAAGTCAATCCAGGACTTTCGATCCCAATCAAGTTCACAAACCCTTTAAACCCTTCTTCTTCCTTTATGTAAAAATCCGAAAATTTTTTAGTACTGTCTTCTTTCGAGTAAAGCTTTGGTCTTACACCAGAATAAGAAGCAGATAATTCTTCTAACTTGATCTTGGGGAAGTAGCTTGCGATGGCTTCGTATGCCTTAGTCAAGTTTTTATCGTTTGCAGCGTAATCTATGGCATCGGCACTTTCAATGTCTAACCATTGAGCATCTGGGCCAAACCTTAATTGTCCGCCTAGGTCAAAGGTGAGATGAGTACCTAGGGATGAGGCATTGGGGTTGGGACAAGGGTAGATCAATTTATCTGTGATGGAACTAGTTTTAATTGGGTCTATAGGAGAATATGAAAAATAAGTTCCTTTACTAAAGTAACTTTTAAAATGCCTATCAGGAGTTAATACCATATTAGCGACCTTTTGAGCATATAGTCCAGCAGAATTTATTAAATTATCGGTAGTAATTTCAAAAAAATTTCCAGTGTCAGACTCTTTAAAGTTTAAACGATAACATGGAGTTGATGAATCGTACTGCACGTCAACCAATTCCGTCTTCAACCCGAGGGTACCCTCATGGAGCTCAAACTGAGTGAGAAAGAATGTAGTGTAGTCATGAGCTGATATGATTCCAGTCGTTGGCGATTCTAAAATTGCCGACTCGGCTCTGATTAAAGGTAGTTTTTCATTCCCTAAAGACGTTGGAACGAAAGACACTGGTACATCCAAGTCTTTTGCAAAATTGTACATTTTATCAAGATATTCCTTCTCTGAATCATTTTGAGCCACTACCCACTTCCCACATTTCTGTAGTGGCACTTGGAAATCACCTTTTTCAAATGCTTCATAAATTTTCTGCTTACCTTTGATACAAAGTTGACCCTTAAGCGAATCCTTAGGATAATAGATGCCCGCATGTATTACTTCTGAGTTTCTAGATGTGGTTTCCATACCCAAGTGTTCATTCTTTTCAGCTATAAGAACGTTATTTCCTTCAATTGACTGTAATTCTGCTCCGATAGCAGTACCAACTATTCCTCCACCTATAACTACATGAGAAAAATCTGCTTTTGTTGCACTCGAGATCTGGAACGATCGGGATTGCTGAATTGGATTCGGAATTGATTTTGATAGATACTGGTGTGTGGATAAGACATACCTTTTGAGCATGGCTAATATTATGGCAGTGGTTTCAGTATCAGAGGTCTTTATTTTTTTTCATTTTTCAATCGGTTTGGCGAATTCTTTTTTTTTTTTGCGACAATTGAAAACCACCGGACTGTTCTTGATATCAGTTTTGCATTAAAGCTTGCTTAAGCTGGTTTAAGCTGTTATAATTCTACTCGGTATTTGTAGGTTTACTGCTATGACTAGGTAAAAATTGACCAGTCAAACTTTCACTGTGGGAATTATGTGAAAAGGAAAAATAATAATTGGATGCAAATTCTTAGAGAACATTGTTCTATGAATTTATATATACAACAAAGATATCAATTTCTGAAGAAAAGGAAGAGTCGTAAAAGACAATCTTGAGAGCCGGAAAAGTAACCTGGCATCAGACTTTAATAAAAAAGAGCTGCTTAAACAAGCTTTTATATCCACCATCAATAATTCTTCAGTTTGGATACTGCTTCCTCAATTACTTTTCATTTGAACTCTCTTGAATATTTTTGAAACACACAGGACTAGTAGGTAAGTCGCAATTAAATGTATCAGCTGAATAGTTATACAACTTCGATGAACCCATCACACCGGTACATTATGGTTGCTTGGGCTGAACATAGCGATAGGTTCATAGAGATAATACTTTACCTAGGCATCTAACCTCCGGTTCGGTTGCACCTAAATTTTCTTCAGTGATTATCCTGAGTTACAAAAAGAGCTCTTAAGCTTTATTTCTATAGTTTAACCTAAATTTAGAAGCCAAAATCAAGGCTGAAAGGCAATAAGACACCTAACTGAGGAGCTAATGCGTTTGCTTTGTAGATTTAGAATCCGTACTGTTTTCTGCAAAGACGGCAAGCAAGTCTTTTATGGTGTAGTCTCTACTTTATAGGCTGAAGCGTAGATATACTACATTAAGTCGAGTCAGGTATATATTTATTCTAATTTGGCTCATTTTTAGTTTATTTATTATATTATTTCACTCTTAATGATACCAATCTATATAATAATACTACCAAGTAGTTTTTTTGTATCCTGATAAGATATTTTGTATCTGGATTCCTGTTGTGCAAGCCACCAGTGGTTGATGGTTGGTCTTATAAAAATTCATAAAATTTTGTTTACCTGAATTTTAGATTTGGGTTTACAGCCTGAAATTTCAAGATAGAAATTTATTAAAATCCCCTGATCGTCCTAAACTCCATTCAAAGCTGCCATTTGCCTTGAAATTGAGGCCGCTGTTTTGTTCAATTTTCACACCGCTATAAGGTTGACTTTTGGGTGGCCTATGTTTTTGATTCTCGCAATCAACAAAGTTGGTTTTGTAGTGTAGTGGTTATCACTTTCGGTTTTGATCCGAACAACCCCGGTTCGAATCCGGGCAAGACCTTTATTTTTTGTCTTTTTCACCTGCCCCCTGTTTGATTCACCAACTCACCAATTCACCAACTCACCAGCGCATCAGCTCATCGACACCCGCCAATCTTCCTGACTGAAGCTCGCTTTTTGTCTGTTCGACTCCCGTCAGGGACTTCAATTTACGAGCCGAAAAAGGTTCAAATTAATTAACCGCACGTGGGAAAGAAAGGCATAAAAAGTGAGCGGTAATTTTCATATCACGGCTTAAACTTAACAAAGAAAGTAATTGAAATTTAAATTAACATTAATTACTTTAATTGAAGTATAAATATATCTCTATCCATATATATATATAAGTATATACCAAGAATATTCCAGGGCCTGGTTGAAAGGGAAGTTGATGGTAACTTGGTCAACTAATATTTGGTAATATGAAATTCGGAGAGCATTTGAGAAAAGCTTTAATCAAGAATTATTCCTATTATTATATTTCATATGATGATTTGAAGCATCAATTGAAAAAGACCTTAAAAGATAATGATTATGAATGGACAAATAAGTTTGAAGAAGAATTTTTAGCTTCATTGGAAGGAGAATTAGATAAAGTTTATTCATTTACTAAGATTAAGAATACTGAAGTTAACCGCCGAATTAAAGATGCAGAAAAATACGTTTACGAAGTTGTTAATGCTTTACAAAATCCGAGCAATGGACAAGTACCTCAAGAGCAAGATTTTGAAGATTTAGAAGAAGAGTTATCTGATATTATTGCTGATGTTCATGATTTAGCAAAATTTACTAGGTTAAATTATACTGGATTTCAAAAAATTGTTAAAAAACATGATAAAACAACTAAGTTTACTTTAAAACCAATTTTCCAAGTAAGATTAAATGCAAAACCTTTTTTCAAAGATAATTATGATAATTTGATAGTTAAATTATCCAAATTATATGATTTAGTTAGAACAAGGGGTAATCCAATTAAAGGTGATTCATCTGCTGGTGGTTCTCAACAAAATTTTGTTCGTCAAACCACTAAATATTGGGTTCATCCTGATAATATTACTGAATTGAAGTTAATTATCTTAAAGCATTTACCAGTTTTAGTTTTCAATGCTGATAAAGAATTTGAACCTGAAGATAGTGCAATTACTTCAATTTATTTTGATAATAAAGACATGGATTTATATTATGGTCGTTTGAGAAAAGATGAAGGGGCTGAGGCCATTAGATTAAGATGGTATGGTGGTATGAAATCTGATCAAATTTTCGTTGAACGTAAAACTCATCGTGAAGATTGGACTGGTGAAAAATCAGTTAAAGCAAGATTTGCTTTAAAAGAGAAAAAGGTTAATTCCTTTTTAAGTGGTGAATTTACTGCTAAACAAGCTTTTGAAAAAATGAGAAAAGATGGTAAAAAGTCTCCTCAAGAAATTGAAAATTTAGAAAGATTGGCTAAAGAAGTTCAATATAGAGTTTTGAAAGATAAATTTAGACCAGTTATGAGATCTTTTTATAATAGAACTGCTTTTCAATTACCTGGTGATGCTAGAGTTCGTATTTCTTTAGATACTGAATTAACCATGGTTAGAGAAGATGATTTTGATGGTCATGATCGTACTAATGGTAATTGGAGAAGAACTGATATCGGTATTGATTATCCTTTCCCTCAATTATCTGATTCTGAAGCTTGCAGATTTCCTTATGCAGTTTTGGAAGTTAAATTACAAACTCAAATGGGTCAAGAACCTCCTGCTTGGGTTAGAGATTTGGTTACTTCTCATTTAGTTGAAGCTGTTCCAAAATATTCTAAATTCATTCATGGTGGGGCTTCTTTATTAACTGATTATGTTAATTTATTACCATTTTGGTTCCCTCAAATGGATGTCGATATTAGAAAACCTAGAATTCAACAAGAATATGGTATTTTGAGACATAATCAGCAAAGAGGTAAAACTTCGTCATCCTCTGGTGGTGAACTAGATGAAGAAGAATTAGTTGATAGCGGTGATTACTCTTCTTTCACCGGAGTTCATTTTTCAAATGATACTAATCCTTTAGAAGCAGATTTGGAAAATGATGAGAATACACCATTATTATATCCATCTAGTTACTCAAATAATAATGATAGTCCAGTATCTGACTTTTTCGTTAACTTATACGCTAAATTCTTACATTATTTTAACGACGATCGTACTTTCACCGTTAAACCTGGTACAAATTTTAATCTTAATGATACTTTCAAAAACAAGATTCCAAAAGGGAAAAAAATTTGTGTTCCAATTCGTATCGAACCAAAAGTTTATTTTGCAGCCGAAAGAACCTTTTTAAGTTGGCTCTCAATTGGTATGATATTAGGTGCTACCGCTACCACCTTACTTACTTATGGTAATAAGAGTTCTCTAACTGCCTCGATCGGTTTCTTTATAACTGCTTTGTTTACTATGGCTTATTCTACCTATAAATATATCTGGAGAACCCTTGTTATTAGAGAAAAGAAGGTTGTTGAATACGGTGATAAGTTTGGTCCAAACATGATTTGTTTTTTCATTGCTGCTGCAACATTCACTACCTTCTTATTTAGATTTATCGAAATGTAAGATCAAAGGTCTTATACTTTCTTCAAAAAGAGAGAAATTACTTCCCAATTTTTAATTTTCAATTCTTCAATTTGTTTTCTCAACACTGTTATAAGTTTTTGCGTTAGTTATGTTATCCTCTGCATTATCGTATCATCATGTATATTTATTAATAAAAACTTTTATATAAACTATTACTTACAGTCAAAAAAGAATCATTCAAGAATTAACTATCTTACTTCTATAGTATAGAAGACTCGGGCTGAGATGACTAAAGTGAAACTAGTGAGCTCTGTGATTATTGTCAAATTCCTCTTCTTCCTCTCTTCTCAAATTCTCCAACCTTGCTTCAATTATCGCGTCAACATCATCCTCATCTTTTGTCTTACCAACTTTGAAGGTATTTCCAATTTTTGATAAAATTCCATCCCGTCTTTTGATCTTAACTTTCTTACCACTAGGTAGGATTTCATAAGGACCATCTTGAACTTTTTGAAAGTCACCTTGATATAGAGCTTGTCCTTCTCCGCTAGGTGGTAATTCACCTCTGCTTGGGTCTGTTCCTGCTCTTTTTCTATGAACTGCGCTCCCAGGAGCTATATCAACATCATCTAATACTGGGCTATCGATTATTCCTAATTTGTTCCTAACAAATTTATAGCCTTTGATAGCAGCTATACGCCAAGAACTTGGTTGACGAGGATATTGCCAGCCTTGTTGTAGCTCTTTAAATGAGCTTTGCTCAAAAAATCTTCTCATATCAAGATCTTTTTCGAATAATTGGAATAATAAATCATCTGATGGCTTGAAGGTAAATTTGCATACTTTCAATAAAATATCAAAGAATAAAGGAATTGTGAATAGGACTAATAATGCTGCCCACCAAGAAGGATCTTGACCCCATATTAATAACCCATAGTCAACATAAAATATTGGGGCATTTTTGGCTCTATAAAGCAACATGATGATTACGTTCCAAAGTCCATAACCTCCTACCGAAATTATGAGAGATGCAAATGCTAGCCATTGTCTATTCTGCATTTCAATCAGTACACATTTAGCGTTTATGACTATTGCCAAAGTTGCAAAGATTAAAGTACCAATTGGCAAGGTAGTATTGTCCCTTAATGCAGAGCTTCCCCATATCTTATATCCGATGAAAGATATACCCACACTTTGTAACGCAGCAAGTATCATCCACGAAATGAAAACCTTTAAGTTAAAAGCTTGATATAATCTTCCTTTAGAATATAATTCTGGAATTGCCAATAAAGTTGATGGCCTCAAGTCCATGTCAAACATACCAACGCATAAAACGGGCAATGATGTAAACAAGGTATTGAACATTGACAATGACCAGCTTTCGTATAATGACGATCCAGAAAATAATGTATATCTTTGATAAACTGCTTGAGTAAGATAGAATAAAAATTCTTTGTAAAATGTGCATAAAACAAATTTGGAAGTCCTAATGTAATTATACCTACCATTCACTAATAATAATTTAAGAAGAAACCTGAACTGAGCAATTGCATAATCAGCGGATCTGGCAGCTTGTAAACCTTCTTTACCAGTTATACCAACCCCAATATCAGCACTTTGAATCATCGCAATGTCATTCGCACCATCACCTATTGCTAATGTGACAGAGTCTTTCTTTACTTCACGAACTCTACTAACCATATTTGCCTTTTGAGATGGTGAAGCACGACAGCATATAGTTGAGTCTGCTTGGATGCATAATTCAATAAATATCGAAAGTAATGGAGATTCGTCTTCTATGGTTCCTAGGGTAGCCCCATCGATTACCAAAACGCAATGAGCAACTCTTCCAGCTTTAATTTCAAGACCAGCACTTGTGATTACTTGCGCTAATCGGTCTTTACCTTCATCATTTGACAAAATTACGACTGTCGAGTAGTCCTTTATTAACCCACATGAATAACCAATGTTAATCGCAGTCTCTCTTTTATCACCGGTAAGCATCCATAATTTAATTCCGGCTCTTCTAAGCTTTTCAATCGCAACACTTACACCATCCTGAAGTTTATCTTCAATTGCTGTGGCACCTATCAACTCAAGGTTTTGTTCGATTTTTGAACCAGTTTCCTCAATTTTCTTTGCACGATCTGTGAAGGAAATTTTGGCATCGCTGTATTCCCTTGACCATTCATCGTAGTACTTCTTATCAATCCATCTGAATGAATAAAGCAAAGTTCTCAAACCTTCAGTAGAAAATTCCTCAACATGTTCTAAAGTCTTTTCGATAATGAATTCATCATTTACCAATAATTTATCAGGTGGTAGATATTGAGAAGCGTTAGTCTGACCCGAATTTTGTTGGCTCTCCGGAATATATGCGGCAGAGTCCATGCTGTATCTCTTAACTTGTTTTGAATGAAGAGATTTTCTGGCTTTTTCGGCAATACTGTTAAGTTCTTCATCTTTGGCTAAGTTATGATCAATTGAACTCATCCTTATAATAACGTCATCATTTCCGTTCGAAAAACTTAAGCTGTTACGTAATGAGCTCATTGATCTCCTAGATGATTCAATATCGTGGGATACTTTAGCGTTCAAAACAATATCTGCTTCCATAGTCTTACGATCACTTGAATTGAGGGAAATCTCCCTAGCCTTACGTTGAGCTAGTTCTGTATTTTTCAATTTTTCCAAGATAACATTATCAGCTCCTTTACAAATAAGACAAATTCTGTTGTCGGGAAATTTCACAAGTACTGACATTCTCTTTCTGGCTGAGCTAAATTCAATTACATTTAGTAATTCATACACTTCGAATTTTGGCTCTTTACCGAACCCTTGAGGATATGTTTTGATAGTTAAGGTGTTGTTGACTCTATCATAAACAACAAACCCTAAATCTCTTGCTGCTTTAACCAAAGCCAACTCATCCGGTGATGCAGCTTGATAATCTAAAGCTTCGTCGGAAGCTTCCTCAGTGATATCTTCTTCTGGTTCTTCTATAATTTGATCATTCAATGATAGAGATGAAGAAGATGTTGATAACGATGAATCATTTTTCCTTGGTATACACGTATTACATAAAGCAATGCTCAAAAGGAAAAACTTTGCCTTCTTGGAGAACAAAGTTTGAGGATGAGATTGGACATATTTCAATAATTGTAGCGAGTTCTTTAAATCTTGAACTTTGTGAGGGTTAGCCGTTGACTTCCAAGTTGATTCGGATCTAACAGGTTGTAATTCGATACTTTCTCTTGCAATCAGAGTTGTACTGTTCCTTGGATTGTAGTCAGCGGTTTGAAAACTTTCCCTTGCGAGACTTTGGAAGCTATTTCGTGGTTCATGATAACTAGTTCTATTACCAAACCCACCGGTAGTTGGACTTTGAGGTACTACTTGAGAAAAATCAAAATGTTCCGTGGGCTGTCTTTTCTCTTCTAACATCAAGTCTAAATCATGAAGCCAACTAACACCGCAAATACTGAATTTTCTAAAGATCATCTGATTGTCTGTCAAAGTACCCGTTTTATCACTAAATATATAACTGACTTGGCCCAACTCTTCTAAAATAGTGGCCGTCTTTGCGTCTGCGGGAGTATTAGTTTCTGCATGATACATGTCGAGATCATACTGTAGAAAACACAATTGCATAACTTTGATAATCTCCATAGTAACATAAAGCGATAACGGAATCAAAGTATTATACATAATAATAAACCCCATTAATGTAGGAGCAATACCAACATCTTGACCCCAAAGATACCAGGCTTTTTCTTTATTTTCTTTATAATAGATTCTTTGACCCATTGTAGAAAGAGCTGATAATAATACAACCACACAAACCATAAAAATAACAATATAATTGATATTTTTTTGTAATTTAGGAGCTTTAGTTCTTGGATTTTTAATATTATTCATTCTAATTTTGGTTTCTTCACCAGTGAATACAACCAATCCCAATAATGATTTAGTATTTCTTAAAATACTACCTCTATAAATGATATTATCAGAATTCAAAGCATATTTTTCATCATTTAGAATAAAAGAGCCTTCAAAATTATATAGATCAGCATTTGGATCTTCCACTGTTGCGAAAGTTCTGATATTTTTCAACCCTGGAACTCTTTCCAAAGTTTTTGACAATTCAGGATGAGGAAATTTCAGTTTTAAATTAGTTTCACCATCCAATGCCATTGTTTCAATAAATGTTTCTTGGTTTTCATTTTCTGATCTTAGTAGAATTAAATCGGCTGGAATCCACTCATTTTCTTGAACTTTCACTATATCCCCAACTTTAATATCTTTCCATTTAATTGAATACTCTCTTAAATTATAACGGTTTAATAAGCTTTTATTTGTATAAGATTTATTTGATCCTTCGAGTGATGACGAAGATGATGAAAGGTTATTGCTGCTGGTATTATTCATAGGATCAAAGTTCTGTCGATGATTAGGAACAGGAATTGTTTCTGTCATAATGGTGGAAATCGAATGAGTATCAAAAGACTGCAATTTTTCATCTTCTTTAATGACAATTGATTTTTTATTATTTTCTTCTTTATCATGAAGATGACGCTTCCAGTCATCAAAACCTTCTCTTGCAATTGAAATAGACATGAAGATGAGTAACGGAATGATAGTAGTATATTGACCAGTTGTTGACCAAGTTGGAATCATTTGCATTATTGCAACAATCATAAAATAACAATTTGCAATTTTGGAGAATTGAGCTTTCAATTGTTTTGGTAAAAAGGAGTAAACGGTATATTTTGAAGAAGTGATTAAATTATCACAATAAGGTTCACCGGAACGTTCATCAATTAATGCATCATAATAGTCGTCATAAACTTCTTCTTGAAATGTTTCATTCAAATCATTTTTCCTAATACTAATTGGAATGATACGACCATTCAAGGTATGTTCTGGCACCTTGATTCTTAGTATTTTATTTTTCAATTTGAATAATGCAGCCAAAAATGGATTTCTAGGCGGTCTTTGTCTTCTTGTAGTCGATTTACCTAGAAACTCACTAGCACTATTATCCGAGTGAGCACTGCTTACACTCAATCGGCTTGATGTCCTACTGATTGTGGTATGGAGTATATCAGTGAACAGACCTAATTTGCTGTTTCGATTAGTTGAATAAGGGTGGTTATTGTCATTATTCATTTGTTTTCTTTGATTTGTTAGCTCATCGGTGGCGGAATCAATGTTGATTATGGGCGGCAAGCTTAAGGCATTGGAGCTGGAGCCCATTTGATTCAATTCAATATCATTTGACTTTGACGGTATTTGATTCCCGGCATTACTTGTACTAGCAGTGTGACCTTTCCTTGTGTTCCCATTACTGTCTGAATTGCCTGATCCGACCTGGGATAAAACGCTCTTATTGAAGAGCTGGGATCTTAAAGAAAGCCCTCTTTTCCTTCTAGTCTGTGGGGTGCTTGGTGGTTCCAAAGACGAGCTGGATTGTGCTTGGCCATTAGAGCTGCTGCCTGGATCATCTGCAGAAGAAACACCATCACCAACGGTCCCTTGAGCGCCTTGAGGGTTTTGAGAGCCTTGGCTTATAGTGGGAGGGCCCTGACTCATGGTTTCCAACCAGCTAGATTTAACACGATGATTCACAAAAAATTGAATAAATTGGACTGTATAATTGGACTGTATAAGCGGAGAATGATAAAATTCTTTGAATAAATGAATAAATAAATAAATAAATAAATAGCGTTGATGATTATCCAGCTACGCAAACACTCTGTTACCCCAAATGAAAGTACCCTGGCAATATTATTGAAAGGTGTATGATCAGAGGTTCGATATCAACATGAGCGGGTAAAAGAAGAGAAAAAAACCGAACGAAAAAAAAAAAAAAATTGGAAATCTGACGTTTTTGTTTGACTTTTTGTCTAACTTTATTCTGAGTTTAAAAATAGGTTCGCAAAACTTTCTTGCCGTGCCATTCCAAGCTGGTCACTAATCTTGGACCCGGCCAGGGGCTGGGGGCTTCTGGGAGGCTGATAGATACTGCGGGCTTACTCTGCTGCAGAAGAGCTTTTCATCTACAGAAGAGCTGGGGGGCCCAAGGTCTTACTACGAGGTACGTTAGTCTTTAGTTGATTTGGGATATTTAACTCACTGTACAAACAAATTGATCTACGATCAACGTGTAGACGTTATGAAATGGTTGGTTTACGGGTGTTCTGTTGTGCGGGGGGACAGTGCCAGTATTATTACTGCAAAAAAGGTCAAGTATATATGGATAAGACCTTTTCCATACAGTAGGACTTGTATTGGTCGACGTAATAGGGCAGGTTCAAGACAACCTCGCCGTTGATCTCGGAGATCACGTCTTCGTCTCCGGCAATCACGATCATGTGGTTCTTGGATAGTAGGTCTTGGGGTAAGGATTGGACGACCTTGTCTTCGAATAACGAAGAAATCACGTTTGTGCTGGCCAAAGTGCCCATGAAATTAGCCCACCCAGCACTCTTGATCACCGGGAGCTCGGCCAAGTCTCCTGCGGCGTAGAAGTTGGGTAAGGTATCGTTTGTTTGTGGATTCTTCAATTGCAAATGATCATTAACCCAGAGGTTGTTACGATGATTGACGAATTTTTTTTGCAACTCGTCCAGTAGGATTTGGGTGTTGTTTCGATGGCTATTGCACCAATAGTTGAATCTTGACTTGATTGTTTCTCCCGTGGTGGTGACCAAGTCTCCATTTGCCTCCTCGTGGCTAACTCGAGTATTGGTTATGACATTGACTCCTGCTTTTGTTAAAGACTGATGGATTTGATTCTTAAACTCAATGCTGAGTGGTTCTGGTGGGTAGTTGGGGTGTGGGTGGATCAAGTTGACAGCTTTTGCCGGGAATAGTTTTTTTATATCTGCTGCAACCTCAAGACCAACACCACCTGCTCCAATTACGCTGATGATATCATGCTTCCCGCAATGTGCCAGAAACTCTTTCATTTCCTCGATGAACTTGCGGTAGTTGTACGCTTGAGGAGTGATTGGCCATTTTCGGTCCCGGCCGGATGCTAGAACCACTTGGTCAAAATGAATAGTGGCTGTTTGGTCCGACTCATTCAATTGATATTGTGCAGTTGTTTCATCAATTGAGGTGACTTTACCTTGGACGTAAGTCAATTCAAACCCATTCTGCGAGTTTTCATTTTGCTGGCTGACTTGGCTGATACTCGAGTCGTCGTTACTGACTATCTTATCAAAATGAATATCTTTCAATTGATTAAACTGTATGAATTGGCTTTTGGCGAATTCTGGATCAATAATGGATCTCGGCATTCCTATGATATTTAAAAACCCGTTCCTTGGCTCTATCAATGTAATTGATAGCTTATTATATGGCACTCCGTATAATACTTCTAATTTTTTTTTGAATTGTGGGTGTTCTGATTGTTCATGGAGTCTCTTGGTTAATTCAAGAACTGTCCGAAGTCCAGCATAAGCCCCTCCCACTACCAAAATATTGGTATTGAAAGAAACTGCTTTCTTGGTGATCTGCTCCAACGAGCTAGGAATAGTTAACTTCATGGCTATTTGCTAATCTCTTCTTGCTAAATCTACAAGGGTTTCTTCGTCTTTTATAATGGCTGAAAAAAAATTCCATATACAATATACGTTCGGGTGTCCCGAGCAAGGAGGGCTCATGCATCCGAAAATGGATCCAAGACGTTTAATCTGACTCCCGACCCATCGGAAACGTCTACCATTGGTTATCAAGATAACTTACAGGAATATTAACTAATTTTATTCTTGTATATTATTAAATGTTTTAATGCAAGTTTTGGAGCAATTGTTTGAGAAGTTGCAACCAATTCGGTTCGCAATTTATTTAAGCGATCTGAGTAGTTTGTTATTAAGCCCATTCAATTCATCTTCGACATTGATCACTGTACGCTTTAAATTCCGGGTCCCACTGTTTTCCATCAACCATTTTTCAAATTCTTCCCGATGTAACCTTAATTGCTCGACTAAAGGGGGTTTTCCATACTCTTTAGTATTGCTCAGATATGGGTTGAGTAAGAAATCAAATAATGGCATCCATAATTGAGCTTGCCACCATCTCTTCAAATTCCTTAATAAGTTATACCTACCATCGCCAACCAGCTTTACTTGAATATATTCACCAAATAAAAGTGTGTGTAGAATTGCAGCTATACCGTAATAATCAGCATCAAAGCTCCATGATTGCCCGTTTCTCATGGCAGGACAATCTTGTTCATCTGTATTCCATTCACTTAAAAATTCTGTCCTTTGCTTTGAATCGAGGATTGTCAAGTCTAACGCACGGCCAAAATCAATCATGGTAATTCCTTTTGACTTCCAGGCTTCATTCATTGGTGAATAATTTTCAGGTAAGTCATCTTCTGTTCGTTTAAACCTAATCATGCAATTATCAGCCTTTAAATCGCCATGAATTATTCCAATCGAATGTAAACTTTCAACTGTTTTCAAAAGTTCGATGGTGAAAAATATGACTAGAGTTTCATCCACAGTTGTGCCCTGGTTCTTATAATAATTTACAACATCTAATAATGTACCCTGATTCACATAATTCAAAATCAAGTAGCTCTCGTCCTCAAATATAGAGATAGATTCCGGAATGACGAAATATATCGAAGCTTCAATTGATTGTTTTCTCAATCTATTATGAATTTCACTCAAAATGTAAAATTCCCAAGAAGATGCTGGAGACTCTAGTTTTAAAGCCTTGTATTCTCCTCGTTCCGTTTCTACTAGATACACTGTACCGTAACCACCTTGTCCTAATTCATAGCGAAGACAATAATTTTCACTCCCACAATAGTTAATGATTACTTCTGGACTTCTTTTAAGTGTTTTTTTGATTGGATTGGTGAGTTGCTGAAAACTCTTCAATCTATTGGTCCTGGTACGAAGGCCATCGTATAAGTTATGGTATTCTTTTAAATTTTGATGGATACGACTGAACATTTCATTTCGGAATAGAGGATCACTAACATTAAAAATCGTTTTTTCATTTAAATTAATTGATACACTTGATGGGCGCTCGATGAAAGGTGAGCTTTTCACACTCTCGTCGTCGGAACTGTACTGATCAGTGGGAGGGGTGCTCATTTCGATATCTTTGTTAGAAACCTCTTTGAGAAGCTGTGGTTCTTCTTGGTTATCTTTGGGTGGGAATCGAATAGTTTCGGTAACAAATCCATCATAATTTGTAGTGTTTTCTTGTTCAGACTTCGCATCAAACTCATCATCAGTAGTGAGATTATTTGCAGCATCATTAAACATGCTATATACTTCATTAGCTGCCATTTTAGAATACATGGTTATCGTGGGAGAATTAGGACTTTTGTCATTCTCTTTTGTCTTGAATTTGTCACTATCATTTTCATCATCTTGCAGATCATCTTTTAAAGGGATAGTGAAAGTGTCATCTTTCAATGGAATAGTATAAGTTTGATTTCTTTCCACTGGATGAGAGAAATTTTCATTGGGTATAATATTTTCATTTTTTATGTGTAGTTTGTCAAAACGACGTGACATAGCCAAAATTTCTTCAAAGCAATACTCTTCTTCTGGGGAGGGATACACAAGCTTCATGTTAACACTAACTTTTTCTGTATTTTTACCGGGTTGGTGTATTATAGTATATGCAAGATTATCTGAATCCTCTATGATTTCATAATTTTCTTGCGATTCTGGTTGATCTTTATAAACTTCAAATTTGGAGCTATTGGGTCTGCTACTTTCAGTCTTTTGTTTAATTATTTCGCCCTTCCATGGTTTGGGACTTAATACGTTTTCTTTGATTCTGGCCTTGATTGTTCCAAGGTCCTTCAGTCCCAGAGTATCTAAAAGTGCTTCTTTAAAACTTGGTAGTTTCTGTTCATACTCTTCATCATTGAAAACTTGTAATTTCTGTCTTTTTCTGCTACTGTTCAAACCATCATTTTCATTGCCAATGGGATCAGAATTGCTCCCCTTTTTAACGGAAAGCACATCCCTTATGGAAGATGATGTATTTGAATCAGGGGCGTTATTTCGTAGCATCATTCTTTCTTCAAACTTTTTATATGATTTTTCAAGTCTTAAGAAAGGACGAGCATTAAGCTCAATACCAATTTCATATACTTGTCTAGCGTCATTTATTTTACCTGATGATTCTAAATACTGGGCAAATTCTTCGTAATATAATGCAAGTTGATTTCCGATTTCCTTCTTGGCCAAATATACAAATATTTCTCTTGGAGAATCGGAATAGTTACTATACTCTAGCCAAACCTTAAGGTAACGAGGATCGTTTTTATAGTATAGTACATCTCTAAAACAAGAAGTACATCTTTCAAGTAATGCAAGTAATCCACTTTCTGAGTTTGATCCTTGTGGGAAATTATCATGAGTCCATTTAATATAGTCCACGTAGACTTCTAGAGGGTCATCCAATTCTTCAACTTCCGATAACTTGGATTCGAACTGTTCTCTTTGCAATTGTTGTTGTTGTTTGAACTGAGATACCGATTTAGATGCACAATTAAAGTTGGCCGCTAGCTTTGATGCCGGTCTTCCACCCGGCATGGGAGTTATGTTCTCTTTCTGTTGTTCAATGGATGCCATATCCACTGTCCTCGTTGCCATCATAGGACTAATTTGTATACTAAAGAGTGAAGATTGAATGTTTTGATTATTTAGATTTGATGTAAATAATGTTGCGACACAAATAATCAAACTGAAAAATGTCGTATTTTTTTGCACAACGCGTTGAAAAATGAAGCAGACATGGTGTTGATTTGAATATAAGACATATTCAAATTAGAAGGCAGATATCAATAACGATTGGATAGTGGCAGGATGGTAGCAGCAAGCATACTACTGCTTTTCATTTGGAGTGTTCTTGTGGTGGCAAGCAAGCCGTTTCAAGAATCGTTACATTTAAAACCATTACCTAAAAATGGTTTGTTGGCATCATTTCAATTTGAAGTTGAATCATTACCAGGAAGACTTGATTACTTTAATGATAGCGCCAAAGATGAATCACAGTTACAATTCAAATCAAGTCATTATACATATTTCCCAAGAACATTGGGACCTATCATAGAGTCTACAAATACTAGACAATTACATTTACGATTCACTCAAGGATGGTGGGATTCTAAATCATGGGGCAGTCTTCCTTTGGATGGGTTTAAAAGCGGAGGTACTGGAGTGGAAATGTGGACGGTGATCGAAGCTCCTGATTTGGAGTCAGCTAAAAAAAATTGGTTTAAATTAGCAGAGTCATTATCAGGATTTTTTTGTGCATCATTAAATTTCATTGATGATTCAATTACCACATTACCGAAATTCAATACAGAATCAAGAGAAGAAAATTATGTTGCAGATCCAAGTAATCAATTATTTTTATTAAGAGCTGCATTACCAAGTGAGCCAATTTGCACTGAAAATTTGACTCCTTTTCTTAAATTAATTCCCACCAGAGGTAAAGCAGGAATTTCTAGTTTATTGGATGGACATAAGGTTTTCGATTCTTTATGGCATTCCATGTCAATTGATGTCAAATCAGAATGTTTTGGAAATGAGTGTAAATTCAAAATGAATCAAAGTATAAATTCTGTTATTGATATTACTAGATCTCTCCGTAGATCCAAAGAAGGTGGGATTCCTAAACCAACTCGTGGAGAAGATTTACGTTGTGATTTGGAAAAAGAACATGATATCTGGAAATGTTTCCCTCTTCCTGATCCAACTGATCTTTCATGGAATTTAGAACTTATTTATGGTAAAAAAATCAAGGGCCCTGCATTTAAAGATGATCCTAATTCCTCAATAGTTTATATTGATGTTGAACCTAAGCATTGGAATGTCAATGTTGAAAAAAGTGAAGGAGACTCTTTTGAATCACTTGTTTTAAATGATGGTTCTAAATCTCGTATTCAATACAACATTGAAGACGATTCATTTGATTATGATTTTTCATTTGAGACCGAGAACAGTACCGTCACTTTGCCGGTTGATTCACCTCCATTACACGTTTCTAGGTCATTGACTGGTTATTCACAAGATCAAGGTGGGGTTCGTGTTTCTTTTAGAAATCCATTCCCTGATAAACCAGTTCAATTTGTTTATTTCGAAAGTTTACCATGGTTTATTAGATTATATTTACATACCTTAACTTTGGAAGGAGATGGTTTCATTAAACAAAAGTATTATAAACCGGCCATTGACCGGGTTAGACCTTCACATTTAGAATTTTTGATTGAAATACCGGCAGGAGGATCATTAGCTATGACTTTCCAATTTGATAAATCTTTATTATTATATGCTGAGTATCCTCCTGATGCAAATCATGGCTTCACCATTGAACCTGCAGTTATTTCAATTTTAAACGACGATTCGGAAACGGTATACCAATTAAGAACTACCAGTTTACTTCTCAGTCTTCCGACCCCAGATTTCTCGATGCCTTATAATGTCATCATATTAACTTGTACAGTAATGTCATTAGCGTTTGGTTCGGTATTCAATTTGTTAACTAAGAAAGTTATAACTGAAGAAGAACTAGAAAAAATCACTGAAGCCAGTAAGTTGGCTCAATTGAAGCAACGAGTAAAGGAAAAAGTTTCTTTACTCAAGTCTATGTTTAAGCCTGCAAACTAGTTGCTAAATATTACAATTAATAAAACTTCTATGTAAAACCTTTAATAATATACTATTATTCTATACTATTCTATACTACCATTCTATACTACTATTCTATACTACTATTCTATACTACTATTCTATACTACTATTCTATACTATTCTATACTACTATTCTATACTATTTTATACTATTTTATAC